TAGTTATTTAAAAAACAGAAAATTGTACTTTTGGTCAAAAGTCCGTGCGAACCTCGGTCGCCCAGGTACTGCAAATATTAACAGAATAATAATAACGCAATATCGATCTTGAGAGATCCCGATCATCCTCATCTCGCCTCATTTTTCGCGATTAATCTCGAAGCATAAAATGACGTGATCTCGGCCGAGATTGACGAGATCGAGCAGCAGTAGTCAGCTTTTCCAAAATCACTCCTAGTTTAGGAGTCGGTGCCAGCCGACAATATTTTAAGATATGAATATCTAATAGGTAAATATGTACATATTTTACGTATCGAAATATATTGGATTTGCTTTACATCGTCTGGCATCGACTTCGAAAATATCTGATTAAGTATCTATTCTAAATGAAAACCCCCTTTTAGTTATTTTTTTACATTTCAGTGCCTGGAAGTCGGTTTTTTTAATTTTTTATTTTTCCATTTTTAGTGTTGACGTAATAAGCAGGGAATTTGTAAGAAGAAAGATTTTTAATAATATATTATTCTATTAAACAATTTATTTAAAAAAATAATATATTGTTGATATTTTGAGTTACAATTTTTGGTTGATATACGTCTTATAAGTTCCACCATAACTATTGATGCCATACTGCGAGTATGAGTCAGCTAGTGATAATAAAGCATCATTCTCGCTTTACAGGGAATTCTACATATTTCTAAGTGTAATCACGGTATATGCATAACATTACCGTGGTGTGATAACCAAAAAATATCGTAGCTTATCACATAGGTACGTATTCAATTTGGTATCTCCAGTTGAGTTTGATGTCTATGTGCACTATAATATCTATCTCGTGATCTTAACAAAATTATGCAATTACATAGACCCCGAATAACTGTCAAAAAACGTAATTAGTACGCTGTGACGATTTTATGGACCCTTTAACGTAGCATTAACAAGTCTAATGCCCAATTTCATCAACAACCCATAAGCTACCACCTACGTATGGGATCCCTAGTTTAAAAGTCCCCTAAACCAGCCCCTAAATTAAAATTCGTTTTACTATCGTCAGAGCCCGTATTTCTAGAACCGATATTTAGGTGGCATTTTAACATTTAGATGACCCCTAACTGTCGGTAAAACAGAAACTGTCCCCTAACAGCCCCCTAACTATGCTTAGGGGATCCCTTAAACTTAGGTGACGTTGGTAAAATCGGCCATAAGACGCGCTGCACGTCAAGCAAACTTTAAGTCGGCGCAAGAAGGTTAATTAAAAGAACTTATTAATGAACTATTATCAATGATCACTATAATTATCTATATTTTATAACGTCTTAAATGACAAAAAATAAATTACTTTTTTATTGATTAACTCATAATAGGTAAAGTAAGTATATCCTATTGTAATATATCTTGATCACACGACGGACACTACACTATTATTATCATATAGTTTTAATTATTAAAATGGAAACTTATAATAATTAATAGTTAATTGTTTGATTTTTGTAATAATAAAAACAACATATTTATAATTTTGTTTGCAAGTAGGTTCTTACTGTTACCTTTTAGGTATATTAGTTTTATTATTATCCAATTGCTATGTTTTTGTCGTATTAGAATGCAGTGTTGCTTATAATTAGGGTATCATTTAGTCTAGGTCTTTCTTTTGTTGTAACATGTACAATTATAAGAATGTATACTCTGTTAGCAGATCGCTATAATAAATAAAATAAAAATAAAATAGTAATAAATAAAAATAAAATAGACATAATATTATATTAGTCACGTCACGATAGTTAGCTCAAAAATAATTCGCATAGAGCTGAAAATTGGTACGAATGTTGGGAACATTCTTATAAATGAAATATGAAAAGTCCTCATCGATCCCACATCTGCAAAGTAAGTTTTATCATAAAAATAGGTCAGGGAAAAATTGTAGATAGAAGAGATAGAATCGCCAAGAATCAATTTCTGAGATATAGCGATTCAAAAATCACTATATCTCAGAAATTGTGATTTTTAGGAAAAAACGTGTATAAATAATTTTCATAGATAATAGCATCATCTGCAATTTTTGTTTGATCTATTTTCATAATAAATCTTACTGTTTGGCAGAAAAATGCAAAAAAAATTTTTTTTTGCGAACTTTGATCTTGATTTTATTTTTGCAGATGAGGTATCGATGGTGACTTTTCATATCAATTATAATGGCAATCCCAATATTCGTGCCAATTTTCGGCTCTATGCGAATTATTGTAACCTTGGATTTCGACCGGACTATACTCGTATGTAATAACGCCCTATTTTTTTTTAAATAATAAATAATAACTTATCAAACAAGTAATCAAACACTAATCAAACAAGTCGATAAAAAATAAACACCATCTATCGCGTTTATAATATACATATGCTAAAATTTATTATTTGTTTGTACGGATCTCAATCTTTGCACACACTCAAAGTCTCACACCTGGAAGCGGTACATTACATATGAATAAAAAGAAAAGGACATATTATAATATACTTACTTAAATATTTTTTAATGCCTAAACTTATATTATGTATGTACATTGTGATGATGTTCTCCTAGCCGATTCCGGTCACGGCGGCCAATCTCATTGAGACTAGCCAACTGCGCAGGAGATATTATAGTGTACAAGTGTACGCGCAGACACAAGTGCACTCTCTATTCCTGTCTCTCTCATACTCTGGTGGGACGACTGCTCGACACGACCAGTGAGAGTTAAGGCGCAGGACCGACGGCTTTACGTGCTCTCCGAGACACGGGGGTGAAACACCGCCAACTTCCCAACTCCGGGCTGTTACTGAGGCTTACTATACAGAAAGACTCAATAACTAAACTTGGCCCGACCCGGGACTCAAACCCAGGACCTCCGAGTGTGCAGCCGTACATGCTAGCCACTACACCACCGAGGCAGTTAAATGTGTGCATTGTATATAAGTATGTACCCCCAAAACCACGGAAGAGGAGGTCATTTAATATAAACTATTTCATTGAAATATAATGTAATTTTGTATAATATACGTAGTTTAAAATGAACAAAGAACAAGTAAAAACGTTGTAGAAGACATCGAATAAACAAAACAAATCAAATGTTTTATTATATATTAAACCAATAAAACGCCAATTTCGGCTCCGGCGGGCAAACTTAATGAGACGAATAATCTGCACAGGAGATATTAGACATACTGAACTAGTATGCGCACTAGGTCTAATATCTCAAGGTACACTCCCTATACCTGTCACTCTAGTAAGATGATTCGACACTCGTGTTAAGAGATTTGGCGCAGAAATTATATACGGTACTTACAAGAAAAACTCATTTTTTTAAATTTTTGTCTGTCTGTCTGTTTGTTCCGGAAAATCTCTGAAACGGCTGGATGATTTTGATGGGACTTTCACTGGAAGATAGCTGATAGGGATAGTAATAGAGAGTAATATGGGCTACTTTTATTTTAGAAAAAGAATTTAAGGGTTCCACTCATAAAAACTAAAATGTACCTCTAATAAAACAATAAATTTTTTATGTGCAAAAAAAAAACGAAATAACTTTAACCTACCGAGCTAAAAATTGTTTTTTTTTTATCCCAACTAGGATCCTAATGCTCGATTTCGCCAACATCCTATAAGCTACCACCTACGTATGGGATCCCTAGCTTAAAAGTCCTCTAAACTAGCCCCTAAATTAAAATTTGTTTTACCATCGTCAGAGCCCGTATTTCTAGTACCAATATTTAAGTGGCATTTTAACATTTAGGAGACCCCTAACTGTCAATGAAACAGAAACTGACCCCTAACAGCGCCCTAACCATGCTTAGGGGATCCCTTAAACTTTGGTGACGAAGATTGTTAATGTGAAAAAAAGGAAAGGCGAATAATTTACGCTAAAAATGTTTCTTTAGAAGAGTATCTCTGCATTATAAGAAATCAATACATTTCTTATATAATTACCAGGCTATAAAGATGTTTAATTCTTGTTCATTCGACCCTATGTGTATTTGGAATTTAATATATTCACGATGGATACTCTTAAATATCAAAACCTATAAGGTACTTCCTGTTGACCTAGAATAATTATGAAATTTAGCAAGAAGTAAAATTCTTATATGAAAATACTGGTTGGGTTTGTGCGGGCTGAAACGAAAACAAAGTACCGATATAATATTAGGAAAAAACATCTCTTTTGAGAGCTTCCGTAATATCATAAACTAGCAACTTATAGCGTGCATGTTTTTGATGCAAAGAAAACCTAGAGAGACTAGAGGGTCACTAGTATATTTAAAAATAAAAACTTAAAAAAAGCGACTTCCAGGCACCAAAATGTAAAAAATAACTAAACGGGGGTTTTCATTTAGAATAGATACCTAATCAGATATTTTCGAAGTCGGTGCCAGCCGACGCATAGAAAATCTAATATATTTTGATACGTAAAATACATATTTACCTATTAGATATTCATATCTTAAAATATTGTCCGCTGGCACCGACTTTGAAAATATCTGATTAGGTATCTATTCTAAATTAAAACCCCCGTTTAGTTATTTTTTTACATTTTAGTGCCTGGAAGTCGGTTTTATTTTATTTTTTTAAGTTTTTATTTTTAGATTTTTATTGTATATGTAATAAGCAGGTAATTTGTAGGAAGAAAGTTTTCAATAAAATATTCGATTAAACAATTTGTTTAAAAAAATTATTTATTGTTGATTTTTTTTAAAACCGCTCGACTGATTTCGATTAAATTTATATGGGACCACCTGGGAAAAAAAACAAAAATTTTCCAAATCAAGGTTTAGGCAAATGTTCAGGCGTCTTCGAGTAATCGGTGAACATACATAAAAAAAGATTCCGACGAATTGAGAACCTCCTCGTTTTTGGAAGTCGGTTAAAAAACAAAATATTATTATATATAGATTTCAATATTAAGGAATTAACTTGTTTTTTGTATGTTGTTCACGATCCATATTATTTAGTATGATGTTAATGTCATACTTACCACTTACATCTACAATCACATCTTCCCCGCTCACGACGTCACTGCTGCTACTGCTGGTATCAAACGTCCCCTTCAACCTGTCTTGTAGCACATTGTCTTTAACATTTTTCATATAATTATATGTTGATATAATATTGCAATGAGTTTTATTTATACTTTTACTCTGATCAAATAGTGGCGTTGAGTTTTCAACTGCACATTGATGTACGAGTATTTTCCGACCAGTCGGGTCGTACGTAGATGCGCTTGCGCATAATAGCATAAATATGACCAACCGCGGAGACATCGTTGCATCCACTGGTAAAATATTGTTTCATTCATAAATATTACTATTGAAGTTATTATATCTTAAGCTTCAACTATATAGCAATAGTACAGGTAAAGACCTTCCTTTGTACTTGAAATCATCTCAAATCCTTATGTTATTATTAGGTACATTAAACTATTATTATATTAATTTTGGAAATTATTTTAAATCGCCCCCGGATTCTTTTACTGTCTGACAAATAAAAACTAAAAAAAATCGACTTCGATACACTAAAAAGTAATTGAATGTAAGTTTTCATTTACTTTTGGTACCTAATTAGATATTTTCGAGGTAAAAATTTTTCGGCTAACACCAACAATGATTTAAGATATATCAGGTATGAAACTCAATTATGTATATTTTAGAATATTTTTATCACAAATTGATGTAAGCTTTGTTTTGATTAATATCGGCCCAACGACGCGGGCCGCCACCCAGTGTGTCTGTTAGCTCCACGCCTGGCCGCAGCCTGACGCTAATGAGACCCGGTCAAATCGTTAATTTTTACATTTCCTACTATAATTAAAAATAACTATTTTAAATCTACTGCCATGTTTTTATTGGATACCATAGAAAACTATAAATATGTCATATGAATGCTTCATTGATAAAATATTTTACCCATTCATTCTTCTGAGTAGAAGGTATATACCTACTTATACTGTCGGTCAGTTAATCACGAAACATAACAGAAATCAAATCAAATCAATATATTTATTTACTGAAAATGGTCTCATATATACGTACATTCATACATACATACATATGTACGTCCGTGAGGAATCTATCACCGGCTCAGAAGTTCTGCTGAGAAGAGCCGACGAAAACCTCAACAGGTAATATGCGTAGAAGTGTACCAAGAGTTAATTGAGTTTGTCGGGGCGTCGCGGTTGTATGCGAGAGCGATCCCGTGGCGTCCCACATGGCGGCAGGGGGGGGGGGGAGGGAAGTTGGGTTTTAGTGGGTATGCCGGTCTCATTAGCCGGAGAGTCTCCACATAACCACCCCGGGGGAAGTCGGGTGGTATCCGTAATAGGATTTCCCAACTATATAAGAGTTAATTGAGTACTAAAACTTTTCACATACTGGTGCTCTGTAGTATAGTACCTACTAAGACCATATATTAAACAAAAAAACAATCAAATGCAAGTAGGACCTTTACACAGTTCATCTTAATAATAATAATAATAATACTCTTTATTGTACACCAAAGAAAATACATACAGACAGTAATTAAAAATTAACAAAGATGCACAGTAGGCGGCCTTATCGCTTAAAGCGATCTCTTCCAGGCAACCAACTACCAGGTAAAGGAGAGTGTAAGAGAAATGGTAGGCGGTGTACTTGCTATACAATATAATTATACATGCAATATAAATAGATAAACATAATACACATATACATACGAACGTACATACATACATGAATACATACATACAAATATACATACATACTTAAACACACAATACAAATATATAAACGTAATACACATACATACTAATTTATATACACACGTACCTACAAACATACATAGTTATAGATGCAATTAAAAATATAAAAAAGCACTAAAGGGACAGGTAATATTCTTTTAATAACTGCTTAAATTTATCAAGGCTTTTGGCACTTTTAACTTTTAAAGGAAGTGTGTTCCAGAGCCGGGCAGCTTTTACAGTAAAAGAGTTAGAATAGAAACATGAAGAATGTGGAGGAATTTTGAGAACTAGCTTGTGCTCCGAGCGAAGAGAACGGCTATGACAGTCACTTAAAAATTCAAAACGCTCTTTTAGATAAAAAGGAGTTGAAGGGTGAAATGGCACACAGTAAAGAAGATGGAGAATGTGAGTATTCCTGCGGAAACGGATAGGAAGCCACTTGAGTTTTTTGCGAAATTCTGAATCTGAATCTTCATAATTTATACTAGTTATTATATGAAATGAAATAAACTTTCTTCAATTAGACTTATTATAAGTGCTTTTGAATCGTCAATTTAATGAAAGGGTCGTCGCCAGGCCTTGAGGAAGCTACCACTGGCTCGGAAAGCTGTTCTGTTGAGAAGAACAGGCGAGAAACTCAACAGTATAAACATACTGTTGAGTCGCTCGTGAGTGCTCGCTCGTATATAAACATATATACTAGCAGAACCCGCGGCAACACCCGCGTTTAATCTACAAAAAAACTCTTTGGCTTTATGCTATACAGCGATATATGTATTATATTTATAAAATATTGTTCATACAAAAATATTAAAATCGCGATTAAAAGATGGGGGGTGGGGGTAGGAGGATGAAAAATACTTTACGACCTATTCTCATACCTACCAAATATACAAAAAAAATCATTAAAATCGGTTGAGCCGTTTCGGAGGAGTGCAACCACGGCACAAATTCAGAATTGGGGACTTGGCCCCTAGCGGAGTGGGTGGTATTTCTGGGTAAGGGACGTGATAGGGAGTCGAAATGTTAAATAAATTTTTTAATACAACAAAAGATTCAAAAGTTATTGAGACTTAAAGTTACAACATTTCCATACATTTTCATATATTTCTTTACCACCATTCGGAGTGGGTGGTATTTTTAGATAGGGGAGGTGACAGAGAGTCAAAATATATTAAAAATATTTGGAGGAAACGTACGACTAAAAAGTTATTGAGACTTAAAGTTATAACATATCTAACACATTTCCATACATTTCTTTACCTAAATAAGTGATTACAACAGATAAACATACCTTTAACGAATAGTACGCATCCTTTTTTATGTACATTACACATTTTCACAACAATTAATGCTTTATTGTATTTAATATTTTAATAATTTCACAACACAAACAAAATGATCTTACATTTTGACAAAAGCAAAACTGACACTTTGTTTTATATTACCGCTTAAATGACAACAGATTATATTTGATTATTTTTGCTTTTTCTGTTGGTAAAATATTAATATTAATAAATAAATAAATAAAAAGAAAAATATTATTTTCACTTTATAAATACATTTATAACTTTTTATTTGATTTATGTAAAATATATTGTTTTACAATTGTACATTTAGTAAAAAAAATCATTTTTTTATCTGTGAATATTTTTAATTATTTATTTATTATTCGTCATATCTGGGTTAGGTTAGGTTAGAACATTTAAGATTATTTATTTATTATTCCTCATATCTGGGTTAGGTTAGGTTAGAACATTTAAGATTATTTATTAATTATTCGTCATATCTTGGTTAGGTTAGGTTAGAACATTTAAGATTATTTATTTATTATTCCTCATATCTGGGTTAGGTTAGGTTAGAACATTTAAGATTATTTATTTATTATTCCTCATATCTGGGTTAGGTTAGGTTAGAACATTTAAGATTATTTATTAATTATTCGTCATATCTTGGTTAGGTTAGGTTAGAACAGTTGCCACAACGCACGAGCCGAGCGAGCGAAGCGAGCGTGCCGCGGTAGCGGCCGGCGAGTGCCATAAATGACTAGAAAACTAGAAAATTCGAATTTCACGCAAAGTACAAATAAAGACAATCATCTGGAGATCATTTTGACAATTGAAAGTGACGTTTTGACTCCAAGTGTCTAAATGGTAGTAATGTCAAAATAATGTATGGAAATGTTATAACTTTAAGTCTCAATAACTTTTGACTCTTTTGTTGTATTAAAAAATTTATTTAACATTTCGACTCCCTATCACGTCCCTTATCCAGAAATACCACCCACTCCGCTAGGGGCCAAGTCCCCAATTCTAAACGGCCGCCGCAACCACAAACACTGTGACACGAGATATATTAGATAAAGAAAACTACCCAAACACATATCATAATCACCACATAGTATAAAACAAAGTCGCTTCCCGTTATCTGTCTGTCCATATGTAGCTATGCTTCCATCTTTAAAACTACGCAACGGATTTTGATGCGGTTTTTTTTATAGATATAGTGATACAATAGTAAGGTGTATATGTATAAGACATGCATATTCTTGTAGAGAAAACCGAAAAATTCAAATATTTGTATTTCATACTAACCGTTAAAATGTACCTAGAGACGAACCTGAGCAACGCGAGGGTGAGTCGCTAGTAATATATAATTAGAGAAAGTTATAGGTTTGTTATACACCTTATGATCCTTGAAGCAGAGAAATTACGTAATTGGAGTCAGGGCCAGCAAGCTATTTATTCCTGTTACGTCTTTACCAATAAAATGGCTGAATAGCGGTACTAGGCACTTCCCACGAAACCTACTCAACTTAAACAGTATTATTACTCGTATAAGTTATTTTACTTAAAGGATCGTAACATTTGTAGGAGCTTGAATTAAACTTCCAAATCATGTAGACTTATGACACACATATCTTATACGGGGTCTTCTTAATTTTTTTGTTATACGTTAGGAAATTATACATAATAACATGTATTCCATAAAAATTTTAGCCTATAATGTTCACTAAATTAAATTATCTATTATATTTCATAGATGCATTTTGTTAAGCAAAAGACAGACAGACAGACGGTCTAGTAGGCTGATAATACTTTTATTCGGACCTTAACCCGTGAAAAACCCTAAAAATTAATCAAAATATTATAATAAAACAATTAAATAAAGTATGACAAAAATTATAAAATATTTAATTATAATCTCTTTCTAATTATTCTGCCTTTAACTTATCAAGCTTCTTTATCTTATAAAGATCACAGATGTATTTAACACGAGCGACTCACCCTCGCTTCGCTCGGGTTCGTCGTCCCTAGTTATGTTTTCACGTTTAGTATAGATTTCTCAGAGATGACATATTTTCCGCAGTAAAAAGTATCCTATATGTTGACCCGGATAAACAGCTATCATCATACCAAACTTCATCAAAATCTGTCCAGTGGTTTTCTCGTGATCGTTCCCAGATAGGGAGACAGACGGACAAAAAATCTAAAAACTATAGATTCGGCCTCTGCATCGATAATATCTAATTTCAATAAGATTTTCTAAAAAATATTTAATGTACAGGTTCGGCTTAGTTACAATTTTATTAAGATTATTATATGTACAGATCATGAACGAATTAACCACTGGACCAGACATATGAGCGGACGTACCTTTAACGGTCATGTCAGTAACCAGGGAATTTTAGCCTAAGTCGTTTGTTTTTTGTGTCAGTCTCAAGCACTTACTTGTCAACAAAACATCTCCCAAAAATGACTAAATGTTCTGTTAAATGGTGTAAAAACTATAACGGCGGAAGCAGCACTATTTCTTTTCACTTGTAAATACATTATTTTATTACATTTATCGTTATTTATCACAAAATTTAATTAAATGTAAAATAAAATGTCATATTATCCAACTATGTTAAATATAGTCGATATTTCTATGTATTGTTGACATCTGACAACCATCATAAAATCCCTGGATTATACCATTCAGAACAAATGACTAAACTGTCGAGTGAGTCCATTTGACATCGACTAGTGCTTGACAATGTCGAAAAATATATCGATATTTGACGAAATTACTAAACGAATTGTGTTATTTGTACAGTACAATAACATAAAATACTTTTATCACAGTATCCTACAATCTGATGACAATAAATTTATAAAAATATTTTCTAAATCAAATAAAAATATAAATGCAAAAATTATAATTAGTATGTGTACTTAATTTTTTATTTTATTTTATACCACATTTATATACTTTGGAATATTATTCCATTGTAATAATAATAAAGATCATTTTATTTCAATACATAAATTACACAAAATCAAACAATAATGATTTAGCACTAAACTTCTGGGTTGGCCATTTGTAATAAAACACTTTACCACTTGCACTAATTATTTTACTTTCACGATCCAACACTCACTTTTTCACAATTTGCAATCACTTTTTCTTTTTCCTAATTTCACAAATGTTTATTAATAACTGAGCAATATTAGGACAGTGTCACATTTTTATAACTACCCGAGACAATCAATTGCCAATTAAAATAGTTCTATAACAGAATCAACAAAATCACTTTATTTAATTAAATAAGCTTAATACTTTTTTAATCTTTACAAAATAATATTTATTATATATTAATGGAATATACACCCGATACTCATTTGTTTATTAACATTATTATAGGCCAACAGAATGTTGCCATCAATGCCATCATATTTATATAAATCAAATTAAAAATAATTATTATTCGACACATTATTATTGCCTCTTTAATTCATTTATTTTAATAAATACAGATATTTTAAATTAAGATGTAAAATACGATGACTATGCTAACCAATGTCTAAAATGTCATTCATTGGTTCATCGATATATGTATTTTATCGATTACGTTCAAACACTAGAAATATTGTATTGTGTATCAGTGTTTATAATAATGTAATAAAATCTTTGTGTGCGTTAGGCGTCACTTGGTTGAACTAGTTTTCATACATTTGTATTTTATGTCAGGTCCAGTCTCTAATTCGTCCATGGTACAGATATGTATAGATGTAGAAATTTCTCATTAATTTGATGTTCAGTAGAAAACTCTGAAGACATAATTCAAAACAAACAATGCCTTGTATGTTTATAGGATATTCTGTTCAGCCACTCCAATAACCGCCGCCACCCTCTCCTCCAAGGCAGTTAAAGCTGTTCTGCTGCTGGGACCACCACCAATGCTATTGGCTGGCTTTGTAGCCTTAAGCTTAAATACTTCTTCTTGGTTTTCGTTTTTCCACTCCACCCAAACCTAAATAAATGCATTTATTGTAAAGCAGTGCGCAATATCATTAATTTAAATTACATTAGGTCTTTACCTATGAAATTGCCGTTTTTAAATACTGGCCATTTGAAACGTATTGGTGAACCAGGGTCTAACCAACATGATGACAGCTTACAATTATAAAAAAGAATCCATTTTTCATTGCTAGAGACAATGCGGTTCAAAATCCCTTTGTTTCTGTGTCTGTTAAGTAACGAAAGGCATACTAAACTTATGCTAAACTAAACGTTCGCCGCATTGACGATCTTTCAATTCGCGCGGCACCTACTTATCAAGTTTTTCTACTTGCCAATTTGACACAAATGGACCAATATTGTTTTGATGCTAATGTTGAAAGCTGCTGCTAACCCAGCCGTAGATTGAGTACCGGCAGCTTTAAATATCATCTTTAATTCGTCGTTGTTGATTTTAGTTTACGGGCGACCATTGACGGGGTTCATTTTTTTGATCAAAATTTCCATGTCGGAAGCGTTCAAACCAATAATGAGTTGTGCATTAGTTTGTAGTGTTCACTCCATACACTTTATTAATGTTGCGAGCCGTTTTTACAGTATTTTAACTCAATTCATAAATTGCAATTGCAATTGCAGGTAACCACAAAGGCATACCATCAAACATACCCTTCGCCCCCATATTCCTCGGCCGCACTACCCTACATGAAGGAGTGCTGAAGCTGAAGTGCAGGGACGATGAGACACTGGCCTGGCTGAAAGGGATCGTCCCGACGTTCAAAGCCCCGAGGGAAGGTTTTTGCCTCACCCTCATCGAACAACGTCAGCTAAGGCCCAAAGTCAAAGCCGCCTTATACGTACCCGACTACCAAGGGGACGCAGACTTCCTACACAAGATATTAATGAGCCAAAACAGATACACATACGCTGTCAGCTCATGGCAGCTTATACACTATGATGTCTCTAAAGGAGATCGTCCTGGGATGCTCCTATATCTAGGAATACCCAGAGACGAAATACCAAAACTCCTCGCAGAGGGCCGGAGGGTTGCATACTCCCACGGGTCCATATACATCCGGTTCTTCACGCCTGAAGGACTCAGCGATGTACCACCGGAGGAGGAACCTAAAACGGTCGATGACAATAAGCCCACAGACATGGAGACGGACAAACACACCGACAGACCTCACACTGTAGCTTCAAACACACCGACAGACTTACAGACTGACAAACCCTCCCAAACAGACACATTACCAAAACCTACACAAACAGACGGTACAGACGGACGCCAAGCATCCCCACTCCCGACCGACAGACAAATCCCCAAACTGACAGACGAACCAGATGGATCCACCCTGACGACAAACACACACATGGATAAAGTCATCAACCCTCAAAACACACACCCTGCCAGCACTCCCCAGGACATGGAAGAGGTGTTGACGCCTTTATCACAGGTGTCCGCCTCACCAGTGTCTTGGGAAGCACTGGTGGAGTCGGATTAATGCCATCTAAATGACAGACGACAACAGACGGTATGCTGCCGTCATATACAAGCCAACCTCCAGCACAGTCATCAAGCCTCGGCTCTCCTACGTAGGCATCTGGAGGTTGAGAGGGAGACCATTGCACTAATCCAGGAGCCGTGGATTAGACGCAATAGCGTCTGCGGTCTCGTCAGTTACATTTAGATCTTAATAATGGTAATATATGCCAACTTCAGCCTTACAGCATGCAATAATTAAATATAATACCAATACCTACTTAGCTAAATAATTACAATATATACCCGCTTAACACGTTCACTGCGTCATCATTTTGAAAGAACTTTCAGCTGGTGCTTTGGAGACCTAAAAGATCTCGAAACTAGCCTACCCTTTGGTGCGTTAGAGACCTAATCAGTCTCCTAAAAATACAGTTTTGAAAATAATTTATATCTTCCAAAAAACTAATGACATATATTTTAAAGTTTTTGTGGGTCAAGAGAGCCTATTGCTCTACATTTTGCTAGGTTCGCACGCAGTTATGACATTAGAATAAGCTACAAATACCAAAAAAAAAATTAGATATCGATTGTATCTCGTACCGCAACCGAAGATAGTTCAATATGTGTAGTAAATAGTGATGGGAATAAAATAATATCTCAGTTGTCGATTGAAAAAGTTTTATTAAAGAAGTTTATTTATAAACTATGCAAAGTGTTTTTCATTAAAACATAGTAAGCACATTGATTATTTGCATTGCGCGCAAATGGTATTTTTTCAGCTTTTTTTAGAAGCGTCAGTGCTGTTTAATGTGCGTCGTAATTTTTCATAACAACCCACACAACGTCTTTTTTTGTCGCCACGTTGGAAAACATGATCTGTACATCTTCCTTCGGGGAATTCTGTAATAAAAAGCATTATATTTTCCAAAATTGTAATTATACTGGACGATGCAGCACTATAATCCAGCGTTGATTTTTCATTCTTAGAAATCTCACCAAAATAAAACAATTTTATTAAATAATTAAATAAAATATATTAAATAAAAATTTTTTTACACTTTTTCGAAACGTGCGCGCAACCTCCTACGTCGACACTAGGACAACACTAAACCGATTCACACAGCGCCCGCGCCCCCTAACCTCCCTTTCTTGCGTCTACGAGGCGTACGATTCCACGAGTATCGACATGTCTCCTAACGCAAGGAATAAAAATAATTATACTACTGTGCGTTAGGGACCTAATCCATCTCTATTTATTTTTTTTATGTCCTCGAATTCACCTTTAAGTAGGAAGCAAATATGTATATTTGTCTTACTCATACTTAAAGAACTTTACACGTTAGAGCCTCCCGCAAGGAGTGAAACAACACGATTATAGTCAACGCACAGTACAAAAGTCCTGCAAGAGATCTGATAGATCTCGTAATGCAGCGAACGTGTTAAAATTACATATTACACCTTATCCAACATATAGTCTTTAACTGAATAATACGTCTTTTCTAATAGTTTCTTCAATTTATGTTTAAATACATTAATTTCATTAATTTATGAAATATTTTAAGGCAAATGAAATGAAATAAACTTTATTCAATTAGACTTATTACAAGTACTTTTGAAAATGATTATATAAAAGTTGTATGATTATATAAATGTAACAAGTATGTGTTTGAGACGTCTATAACCTCAGTCTCTCCCGTGACCATGATTGCTGTAATGCATTCGAAACGTCGGGAAACAAAAATCAAAATAAATCCGCGAAATTATCCGAAAAGATAGTTTTATTTAAAACTAGCGGCTCACCCTCGCTCGGGTTCGTCGCTAGGTACGTTTTAAATAGATATAAATAGTTATTAGCCAGCGTTAGCCATATATTTTTTTTTTTGTTAATAATATTGACAAATATTGACAATTACTTGACAAAGAAAGTACAAAAGTCGGCTTAGAAATGAATGCCAGCAAGACTAAAGTAATGACCAACAGCGTTAAAGAACCTATTAAAGTAAGAGGAAATATCATAGACTATGTCGAATATTACATTTATTTAGGAAAACCAGTTTCTTTTAGTAAAACTAATAATGAAGAAGAAGTTGCAAGAAGAATAGCTATTGCGTGGAAGAGATTTTGGTCATTAAAAGAAATTTTAAAAGGTAACTACAGTTTACTTATGAAGAAAGTCGTAATGGACACATGTGTGCTTCCAAGTCTATTATACAGCTGCCAAAATTGGATCTTTACAGAAAAAGTTAAACACAAGATAAGAAGCAATCAAAGAGCAATGGAAAGAAGTATTTTAAGGATAAGGAAAGTACAGAAAATAAAAAGCGACAAAATCAGACAGAAAACTAAGATTACCGATGCACTTACACATGCACTGACATTAAAGTGGAGTTGGGCTGGTCACGTATCACGATACTCTGATAAAAGGTGGACTATCGAATCTACACGATGGAAGGGACCAATGGCGGGGAAAAGAAAGGTAGGAAGACCTATAAAACGGTGGACTGATGAGATAAAGAAAGTGGCAGGAGAACAATGGATGAAGATTGGCAAAGATAAAAAAGCGTGGAAGGAGCTGGAGGAGGCCTTCACCCAAACAGGGATCCATATCTCGGAACAAATAAAAAAGAATAATCATACTAACAACCTAGAATTAGCAAAAATACTAAAAACAACTAACAACTTTTGAATGTAACTTTTAAGATATGAAATAAATGTGGCTTAATTATTATTATTATTATTGACATTAATATGTATACGTTACTAACGTCACTCTTTGTCAATTGTTTTGCCTTCCCGGAACCTCTCCACTAACACTTGATCTTTATGGAATGGTATTAAAGTTCAAAATGACTTTTAAGTATTATTACGAATCTTTTGTATGGGAGTATAGAAAAGTGTTCTTTTTAGACTTTTTCAGGCATTTTTTTAAATTTTTCCCCTCCGTAAGAACCATCATCGTACTTCAAGGAATATTCTAAAAAAGAATTAGCGAAATCGGTTCAGCTGCTCTCGAGATTTGCGCTTACCAACACATTCAGCGATTCATTTTTATAATATAGAAGATGAACAACACCTTATTATTATAGCTTTTTCGTCAGCAAATCTATGATAAGACTATCAAAATCTAGATTGTTTGAATCTTGATTTTCAATGGACAGCGAGGTTAGTTTTGCTTGAGACATTGACTGCAAGTATGTTTTTACTTAAGAAACACAGTGTGTGCCACTTACATATTATAATCATGATGCAAAGCAAATCTAATATATTTCGATACGTAAAATACATAATATTTACCTATTAGATATTCATATCTTAAAATATTGTCGGCTGACTTCATCATCAGATCCATCAGGATCAACACATAGCCTAAACCGCTGGTTCTAGAAACGTGAAATTTAGAAGACGTATTCCTTTTATGATGTAGGCATCTAATAAGAAAGAATTTTTCGAAATTCATCCCATAAGTGAGTAAACTAGGGGATTAAAGGTTGTATGAAACACTGTCATTCTTAATGTGAAATACACGGAAAAGTGGTATTTAGCTTTAAAATATATATATATATATATATATAATAAATACGTGTTTTTCGAAATTCAATCCCTAACGAGATAAAATGGGGGATGAAAGTTTGTATGAAAGTCTGTAATTAATGTGTAATAAAGTACAAAAAATAAAATAAAAAATGTTCACCTGTAAAAGATTTAAGAGTTATAAAATAACTTTCTTTAGATATGTCCACATAGCCTTAAATATAAAGTATGTGATTTCGCCTATTTTGGACATCTCATTGCTTTAGTCCACGATTTCTTTAGTCTTTCTGTTTTAGAAACAAATGATATCCATTTTATTTGCATCCTGGCACTGCACAATTTGTAATCTTTACTAAATTTTAAATAAAATGAAAAAAATAACCATCCACGCTATAGAGCTTTACAATATATTGAGGGCTATAGTGATCGTGACATCTGGCGGGAGAAAAAGGCATAATTCGTCCCCCTTGGACGATAACTTTGTGTTACAGCTACGTGTAGTGGCCTCTTGTGGTTATACGCCGTACTATTTACTTGTTTATTTACTTCAATTAACATCAATAATTGTTTTCATCGCAGTCGTCACACAGTACAAGAGATGGCGTTTGTATGTTCTTTATTATACGTAGAAATTCTTCTGTCTATAATATATTTAGTGATTAATTATATCTTGACAACGTTTTCTCGCGGCTTCGCCTGCTTCGTTGATTTCGCAGCATTACTTGGTTCTCGTAAGTGGTATGGTGATGAAAATAACGTTCCTCAATAAATATGTATGTATATACGTAAGGACATTAACACACAGCACCATTTAGTTCCATGGTAAGCTACAAGCCTTGTGTTATGGATACCAGATAGTTGATACTCTACATATATATAACTTTAAATACATACATATTATAAATATAAACATCCATGACTGGAGTACAAGCATTCGTGCTCATCACACAAATGAATGCCCCCAGCGGCACTCGAACCCGCGACCGCTATCACAGCAAACAGTCACGTCAAGTTACTACAAATTAAGCCAAACGTGTCGTCAAAATAGGCTATAAAACGTAAAATTTTTAAATAATCATTTTAATAATCTCTGGAAGAGCGCGTTCAAATCTATACTTAATATTATAAAGAGGTAAAGTTTGTGATCTTGTGAGTTTGTGAGTTTGTGACGTTGTAGGGGGTAATCTCTGGATCTACTGTACCGATTTTCAAAATTCTTTTACCAATAGAAAGCCACGTTCTTTCTGAGTGTCATAGGCTATATAATAATCCGAAAAATTAAAAGGCTTTTTCGTGGTCGTCGGATTTGCAAAGTAAGTCGGAGAAAAAACGGTCGAACGAAAACGTTTTCTTACGAACGCTGCCTTAACGATGAGAGATATTTGATTATGTTCTAGAGAAAAGTTGTAGAGCTTAATAATGCCTACAAAAAAGTCAGCGACAGCATATGTCTAACTTTTATATTTAAGTGACAAAAAGTAGTTTTTTATATTAAAAAAATCATTTAAATCGGTAGGTCTTATCAAAATAAGTAAATTTATCGTCTAAAATGCTTAAAAAAAGACTTTTCCCTTTTACTGCATATAATTTGGACAAATGGTTAAAGAGATAATACAACATATTCGTATGTATGGACGAACCCGAGCGAGCTGTTTATCTGTTTTTCTCTTTGTACGGGCTAATCTACGGATCTATTGGACCTATTTAAATGAAATTTTGCATGGTGGTACCTTATGTCACCGGGCATCATCTCAGTAGTGCCCGGCAATACAACCGGGCGCGAAGCTAAGAAACGCACAGGGAGGTTAGGTGGGAGGCGGCCCTCTTCGGGGGGCGGTGTACCTTGCGGGTTGCTCCCCTGGTACTTCTCTGATAGCAGAGTGGACCTCGGAGCAACCCCATGGTTGTGGTGGTCTGCTTTGGCAGACCTGCCGTCGGGGCGTCGTAGTTGAATGCGTAAGCGATCCTGACAGACGCCCCATTAAGACGGGGGAAGGTTTTGTTGGGTTTTAGTGGGTAGTACTGGCTGTATTACGCCGGTGAGTCCCACACGTCGTGCGTAAATGCATTTCCCAACGTTAAAAAAAAAAAACCTTAAGAGATAGATCATAACATTGTACAAGAAAATTGTAAGTCTTAAAAAGGTCTATAGAAAAGTTCTACATACGATGGTATATGTCTATCTCCTAAGGTACACTCGCTATAACTATTTTCATTATTATATATTTCTGTTTTATTATACGTTATTTATTCTATCTGAATATAGGTACATATATGAATAATAAAACTGTAGAGGTCGAATGTCTGTACATAGATGGTAGAAAAAATTGCTAAAAAACGAGTCAGTTCTCTTCTTACATCCCGTAAGAAGAGAAATAGAACAAATCCAGATTTTTTTCAATTTTTTTGTTTCTCTGTCGGTTTGTCTGTTTGTACGGGCTAATCTCCGATACTATTGAACCTATTTAAATGAAATTTGATACTTTTCATTCTGTAAAATTAAAGAGTTCCCGTGGGATAGTTAAAAAATTATAGTAACTTATACACCTCAGTACACAACAACTTATGCACCTAATTTAGTAAAATTTGGCATGCTGATACCTTATATTGCAGGTTAAACAACAGGTTACTTATTTTTATCCCGGAAAAATGAACGGTTCCCGTGGGATAGATCTGTTTGTGCTTTTCTAGAGGTGAACCCGAGCGAAGCGAGGGCGAGCCGCTAGTAAACTATATATTAGTACTCTTCAATTAACAATACTATTGTTGATCGAATTAGTACCAATAGATTTTATTATGGTAATATTTTTAGACCATTTTTATAAAAATTGGTATACTGACGGTTGCACCGTATTTAGGTAGTATTCTGTAACTCACGCGGGATAAATAGGTACTAAATGATTTCAATTTCTTTTAAAACAACTAAATTCTTAATTTCACACCCTACCATTCTCCTTCCCAGAGTATGTACCAACTGCCTAAAACTTTCAATTAGAATATTCGTAATCTTTACAAACTTTTATCACTCATAAAGATTATTTTTAATTTTATCTACCTACTTTAAAAATAACGGATTTTAATAGAAACTTTAAACCTCTTTTTGACATCAACTCCCCTAGAAGCTTTGCCTTGGTTGGTGATGAATCAGTAAGTTGTAATTTGCGATTATAAATATAGATTAGTAGGAAATAACATGCACATAAAGTTTCAAGAACATTTTTATTTTAATTCTATAATTATAAGTCATATACTTTATACAACTTAAATTATGAACTCAACTTATTTACAGGCAATGACTTATTTTATCTTGAGAAAAAAAATGGAAAACAGCACTCAGATGAGACTATGTTAAAATATTTATTTGTTAGATGCTAACTACACTATTTCATAGATAGACACGCCACACCTAAATACACATATGGTATTAATAAATATCAATTGGTATCTGTACATTTTTATTTGACAAGATCGATCGTCTTTTCCTCTATTTTTATCTTGTTTCGATCAAATCTTCTTTGTAGTAGAGATATGATCTCCTTGTGTAGTCTCTGTGCAGGGAGCTCGACCAGCAGCGCGAGCGGGGTCGCCGCCAGGTACGAGAGCGCGGACACGCCAAACCATTCTATGTACTGGAGACACATAATAGTTAATCAAAATATAATTATAAATTCTAAAATTAGTATGTATATTTGCTACTTCTTTACGTTGAAACGGCTGGACAGATTTGGGTGTTTAGTACACTGACTGCGACTTAGTAATACATGATGTCACGGCGGCCAGTCTCATTGAGACTAGCCAACTGCGCAGGAGATATTATAGTGCACAAGTGTACGCGCAGACACAAGTGCACTCTCTATTCCTGTCACTCTCATACTCTGGTGGGACGACTATGCGACACGACCGGTGAGAGTTAAGGCGCAGGACCGACAGCTTTACATGCTCTCCGAGGCACGGGGGTAGAACACCACCAACTTCCCAACTCCGGGCTATTACTGAGGCTTACTATACAGAAAGACTCAATAACCAAACTTGGCCCGAGCCGGGACTCGAACCCAGGAACTTCGGGTGTGCAGCCGTACATGCTAGCCATTACACCACCGAGGTAGTAATACCTAAGCTAGTGATAGGCACCTAGGGTCACATCCGAGTAAGGTTTAGTGGCTAATATATTATATTTATATTAACGAAATAAAAATTAATTATGATTTAGGGAGTAAATAAGGTATTTTCAACGTGTGTGAACGTGTGTGGCAGACTAAGAGACTCACCACGATCTGTCGGTCTAGGTGCGGTGGCGCGAAGCGCGAGGCCAGGAAGCTCTTGATGAGAAGCATGTGCAGCAGCAGCGCCCCGAATGACAGCCGTGCCAGCGGCGCACCCAACGACAGCCACCGCGCCCACGGGGCTGTTGCACATCAAATCAATATATTTATTTAAAATACATTTACAAGCACTTTTGAATCATCAATGTTTATGCCGGGTCCATGTTATTAGTCAAACCTCGGCAAGCGATCAAAATTCAAACATGTGGGCGTTTGGCTTGGCTTGTGTAGGTTTCCAAGCACTTGTGGCTGCGTCGATCGTGTCGTTTTTGTGCACAAATCAAAGAAAATTTGCAGGAAGTGCTTGTGTTGCATCCACACGTTTGTGCGTTTTTGCTGATACAATTTGATTTGATTACAATTGAGATAATCTTTGCTGATAATAAGTTAGTTAATAAGTTTGTACCTTCTGCGTATTCGTAGGTAGTTTCAAATATCAATCGTTTTTAATTACCATTTTTTTTTTGTATTTCGCTAATGCGTAGGTAAGTCTGTATCACGGTAATGTAATGCATACAGTATTGCAACTCGGGCCGGTCCTTGAAATAATTACGTACAGCCGAGCGGCACGTACCCACGCGACAGGGCTGCCCGAGTGCCCGCCGGCCAGTGTTTTAATTTCATCTACCTACTTGAGTTTCTTTCTAGTTTTGTGATTTCAAATATTATATTTTTTGTTTAAAAAATATTATTAATAGATTTAATTAAAAATCTCAATTTTATAAGGGTGGTATGTGACTTTTATAAATTTGAGATTGAAAAACGCCTGTGGCATATGTTTGTTACTCCGTTATGCTGAAACGGTAGGATGGGTTTGGGTCAGTATATTTTATATTTATAAAAATAGAGTACACACATTTGACCCCATTGAGTGCGCCGAGCAGCGCGACTGCGACGAGTGCGGCGAAGGCGGGGCGCTCGGCGGCGGCCAGGGCTGCGGCGTACAGGCGGGGAGCACCCCCGGGGTCCCCCACGCTCACCGTGCCTAGCGGGCCCAGCAGCACCAGCAGTAGCGCGGCCGCCGGCGCTGCACACACCGAAACAATGCGGAACACCTGCGTAACAGTAGCGTTGTGTATTTAAAGCACAGTATAAATATCCATACAGTAAGTAATCGCCCATTGATATTATGAAAAAATACCAAATTCTTGAACAACACTCAAAATTTCTTTAACAATATTCATATCACACTTATATGGAACTACCATTAAGGACCTGTTCATTTAAAAAAATAATGATAAAAAAATATTTCCAAAAATAAAAAAAAACCCGACTGCATAAAAAGCGAACAGGCATACATAAAAACAAACTAAACAGACATACATAATATACATGTTTTATAATAGCTGCGTGTGTGTATGTCTCCAACTGCATAGTACTGTGTTCCTTCGTCAATTTGTTTCATATTTTTAACCCCCGACGCAAAAAGAGGGATTTATAAGTGTGACGTCGATGTCTGTCTCTCTCTGTGTGTGTGTGTGAATCTGTCTGTGGCATCGTAGCTCACAAAAGGATAGACTGATTTCCATGCAGTTTTTTTCATTTTCTAGCTAGAAAGCCAGTTTCCTTGCGGTGGTTCTTAGCTATGTTTCGTTAATATCGGTCTAGCAGTGTAAGAGTATCAGCTCTTTTCCAAAATGATGTAAGACATTTTGACGTATGATTACTCGATTAAGTGCTTCAGGCGTGCCAGTGTAATCGTTAAATGACAATTAATTTTGCGTAGCAGGGTTTTTAAATTTTTAATTTAGGTATAATTATTAGTTAGCTTTTTACGCAGTAGGGTTTTTATAAAAAATTAAAAATAGGGGCGACGCTCCGTTCATCTTAATGAGGGGTGATGAAATGATTCAAAGTGCCTTTTTGTTCAAGCTAATAGTTACAAAGTTATATGCTTCTAAAGTTGCCAAACGATTTTATACATTGTATGCACACAGCACAGTCAAAACTAACATTCTATGATTCTAGTATAGTTTGAGTGTTACTCTCGATACAATGTTGCACAGTGCGGCTGGGCATATTATTGACTAATTGTAGGGGAGCCCAAGAGGGGATTTTCTGTAGTTACTCAAGCGCGGCAGATTAACATAAAAGAGGTTACCTTGCACTCTATTGAGTACTTTCACCATAATATAAGTATTCTATATAAAGGGGCGCGTCTAGGGAAGCCGATTAAAATATTTAAAAAATGTTTTGATAAGGTAGAAATACTTGAAACCGTCAGATTAAGGTGTGGTAGGCTAGTCACATCCTGAAAATCGACTATAAAGTTTATGATGATTTTTGCCTCTTAGGCTTGTGCAAATCGGCAGATTATTAAATTGGACACTTTTCAGGATGTGACTAGCCTACCACACCTTAATCTGACGGTTTCAAGTATTTCTACCTTATCAAAACATTTTTTAAATATTCTAATCGGCTTCCCTAGACGCGCCCCTTTATATAGAAGACTTATATTGTGGTGAAAGTACTCAATAGAGTGCAAGGTAACCTCTTTTATGTTAATCTGCCGCGCTTGAGTAACTACAGAAAATCCCCTCTTGGGCTCCCCTACTATAAACTAGGCGTCAACTTTAACAAAATTATGAAGACAAAAACAATATTCATTATTACAAAATTTGAGGGTCAATCTATTTATTTATAGAAGGAATTATTAAAATCAGTCCATAATTGGCCGAAATACCGTAACCACAACCAAATTAAGAAACACAACCAAATGAAGTAGGTACCTTTTTATTTTTGACTAGCATTGCCCGCGGCTCCGCCCGCGTTCAAAACCAAATTCTTAGGTTTTATATATTAGTATACTCGTATTAGTATATTAGTTGACCTGGACAATCAGCTATTACCATACCAAATTTCTTCAAAATCCCTTCAGTGATTTTTCTGTGATGCGGTCACAGACAGACAGACAAAAATTCTAAAAACTATAGATTCGGCCTCTGTATCGATAATAATGTCTATTTCAATAAGATTTTCTAAAAAATATTCAATGTACAGATTTGACTTAGTTAGAATTTTATTATATGGATGTCGATCAAAAATTTCATAATAATCATAAAACGTATGCTTGTATGTTGATGGGAGTACAAATAGCAGTATACCACGTGCCTGCATACATGTAATGTCATTCAAGTAAGTACCTAATTGAGAACCTTCTCGTGTTTTAACTGGTTTTAAAGATCATGCGAAATGCCAAGCTGTTGGTAAATGTTAGTTTGTTTTGCGTCTTGAACATTGACACCCATTGATTAATTCATCGTCATCTAACTCTTGTAAATTGCACTTCTCATTCCATTAGCGTGTAATGCTACCCACCCTGCATCGAAAACTAAATTCTACTGTTTTATATTCGTGGGAAACTATTTTAATAAAATAAGGTTTCCATAACATAACGAATAAAAGAAAATTATAATTATATACTTTTTAACTAAAAAGATACATTGACTTTCAATTCATTAATTAAAAGTAATTAATCTACTTTTCGAAATGGAACATCCAATCGAACCAAACCAAACCAACAGCTTTAAATTATATGATGGTGATGATGTGATGTTCTCCTAGCCGATTCCGGCCACGGCGGCCAATCTCATTGAGATTAGCCAACTGCACAGGATATATTATAGTGCTCAAGTGTACGCGCAGACACAACGTGCACTCTCTGTTCCTGTAACTCTCATACTCCGGACGACTACTCGACACGACCAGTGAGAGTTAAGGCGCAGGACCGACGGCTTTCGACCTCCGAGGCACGGGGGTGAAACACCGCCAACTTCCCAACGCCGGGCTGTTACTGAGACTTAATATACAGAAAGACTCAATAACTAAACTTGACCCGACCCGGGACTCGAACCCAGGACCTCCGGTGTGCAGCCGTACATGCTAGCCACTACACCACCGAGGCAGTTATTATATAACACATGAATATTAAGCTCGATACAGTTCTAAACATTTTCTTTTCGATCTTTGTATTTAACAACAATTGTATGATTACATAATTGTTGGCACATTTTCAAAGTACGAGTACAATAATATACTCGTATATATACTGATATAATACTAGTAGTTCTGGGAACAAACCTCGCGAGCACAAGCTGCACTTTGAAGAGTTGAAGAGCCACTTTGCTCATCACGCCGAAGACCCTGATCAGATCTTCACGAAATTTTTATGTGACTAACTTAAAGTTACTACCTTTCAAATAAAAAAGGAACCAGCAAAATCGGATTTCATAAGGCGAAGATATCCAATAAACCCTTTTTTGGAGAACGTACCCCTCCAATCAAAAATCCCCAACGACAAAACAAATCTATAAAGGTATAAAACCTGTATACCAAGTATCGTCCAGATCTTTTGCAAAATACTACCTAGACCTAGACTTGAAGCAGAGACGCTTCACTCGTTACGTTCGCTCGTTCAATTATGGTCGGATACTCGCATGGTACAGTAATAGCGTATCTGATTGTTGCCATTTCTACAGTAACACATGCTCCTTCAATATATAATTACTTTATATGATTAGATTTTTACTCGTGCTTTTGAATTATTCACTTGATTTAATCAGTGTACTTGGGCCGCGAAGTACATACCAATTACCAATACATCGGAATGCGGTTCTATTTAGAAGATCCCAGACAGTTCTTTGAAAAATATCAAATTACAAGATTTTCAATACGAGAATTTCATGTCTAGATGCGCAATACTTCCGTGAGACACTTATCGTTTGTCATGCGACGCAACATCTATGGATGAACCTGCGAAGCATAGAGCGTGGTGAATTCTACACTTTCCACTTTTTTAATTTACGAGATAAAAAGAAGTCTATTCTTTTCTCCTGAAACATTGATTTTATCAACGTTTAGTGGAAACAAACAGATAGATTATAATATAGATAGATATATAATATAGATAGATATATAATATAGATAGGTATATAATATACATAGATAGGTAACTAGTAGATAGACAAATGAACATTTGTGCTACTACATCTCTTCATGAACCTCATGTCATCTCTTCATCTCTATTCTGACAAATTATAGATACGTAGTATAGAAATGGACTGTGTTAGTATTTTTATTTATGCATCTATCTCGCTAACGCAACAGCCGGCGCGACTAAATCAGTCGGTTATGTTATCTCGGGAGTTTCCCAATGCATAAACTGCATAATTGCAGCGAGCGGCCATCCGCGTGGCGCAACCAGTGAAAGTGGCTAAGTCGCCCACCGCCTGCCAGCTCTGGGCTAGAGCCCTTCATGGTAACTAACTACCTATATATTATATATAATAGCTTATATAATAAACTACGTAATATAAACAAACTCGTTACTGCTATAGGAAACTTTTGAATCTATTGATATTATGCTGTGGACTAAACAGAATTCTGAGCAAACACTTTCTAACTTCTATACATATAATAAAATTTGTAACTAAGCAGAATCTGTACATTAGATATTTTTTGGAAAATCTTATTAAAATAAACATTATTATCGATACAGAGTGTCTGTCTGTATGTCTGTCTGTTACCGCATCACAGAAAACCCACTGGAGGGATTTCGATGAAATTTGCTATGGTGATAGCTGGTTATCCGGGTCAACATATAGGATACTTTTTACGGCGGGAAAATATCTAATTTCTGAAAAAAAATACAAAAACTGCATTGTAAGAGTATAATAATATATAAAATCTACGAATTTGGTTTTCGGTCACCTGAACGCGGGCAGAGCCGCGGGCAATGCTAGTATAGTGATAAAAATTTACTTTATGCATTCTTGAAAATATTTTAAAGGATCGTTAGGCAAATTATTATTACGCTTAATACATACTATATAATATAAACTTGAATTTGCTACTAAGTAAGCCTCTAGGAGTCTAGATGATGACTTTTTTTAAATTTGCGTGCATTAAAATTATCACTAGGACCGCGAGGAATATTACACTAACTAGTTAGCTGTTATATCGTAATTCTTCATTCTATCTAACTCTAACATAATAAGGGTAATGTTTTTCAAATGTATTTAGGTTTGTGTGTCTATTTCTCTCGCGCGACAGCTTTACCAGTGGCTTCATATGTGTAGGCTGATTCCCTGTACAAACTTTCATTCCCATTTTCACCCCCCTTAGGGATGATTTCCGGGATAAAAAGTATTATATGTCCTTCCCAGGTTCTCAAATTATCTTCTTACCAAATTTCATCTAAATCGGTTTGGTGGATCCAGATATTACCTACTACAACGTAACAAACTCACAAACTTTACCTCTTTATAATATTAGTTTAGACAATATATTTATGTGGTGTCATCAGAATCATTTAACTAACATAAATGACATACAAAAATATTTAAATACGCCGTTTGTACATAAAAAAATTAATAGTATACAACAGTTTTAAAAACAAGCTTTAAACATTTTTAACAACGAGCATTTAATTTTTTAAATTTGCGTGCATTAAAATTATCACTAGGACCGCGAGGAATATTACACTAACTAGTTAGCTGTTATATCGTAATTCTTCATTCTATCTAACTCTAACATAATAAGGGTAATGTTTTTCAAATGTATTTAGGTTTGTGTGTCTATTTCTCTCGCGCGACAGCTTTACCAGTGGCTTCATATGTGTAGGCTGATTCCCTGTACAAACTTTCATTCCCATTTTCACCCCCCTTAGGGATGATTTCCGGGATAAAAAGTATTATATGTCCTTCCCAGGTTCTCAAATTATCTTCTTACCAAATTTCATCTAAATCGGTTTGGTGGATCCAGATATTACCTACTACAACGTAACAAACTCACAAACTTTACCTCTTTATAATATTAGTTTAGACAATATATTTATGTGGTGTCATCAGAATCATTTAACTAACATAAATGACATACAAAAATATTTAAATACGCCGTTTGTACATAAAAAAATTAATAGTATACAACAGTTTTAAAAACAAGCTTTAAACATTTTTAACAACGAGCATTTAATTTTTTAAATTTGCGTGCATTAAAATTATCACTAGGACCGCGAGGAATATTACACTAACTAGTTAGCTGTTATATCGTAATTCTTCATTCTATCTAACTCTAACATAATAAGGGTAATGTTTTTCAAATGTATTTAGGTTTGTGTGTCTATTTCTCTCGCGCGACAGCTTTACCAGTGGCTTCATATGTGTAGGCTGATTCCCTGTACAAACTTTCATTCCCATTTTCACCCCCCTTAGGGATGATTTCCGGGATAAAAAGTATTATATGTCCTTCCCAGGTTCTCAAATTATCTTCTTACCAAATTTCATCTAAATCGGTTTGGTGGATCCAGATATTACCTACTACAACGTAACAAACTCACAAACTTTACCTCTTTATAATATTAGTTTAGACAATATATTTATGTGGTGTCATCAGAATCATTTAACTAACATAAATGACATACAAAAATATTTAAATACGCCGTTTGTACATAAAAAAATTAATAGTATACAACAGTTTTAAAAACAAGCTTTAAACATTTTTAACAACGAGCATTTAAATAATTAAATGCTCTAAAAAGAAGAAAATATACTTTAAATTAAATCAAACCCAATAATTTATTATATTACCCATTTATATGACGTAAAAGCTCGTCGCGAGATTTACCTATTTTTAATATTATATTCTTGTTTATCATAGGTATATGACCTACCTGCCTACACAGGTACATCTCGCGGCGAGCTTTTATATCATATAGTGTAATGAAATTATTTATTTTTTTTTATTTTTTTTATTTATTTAATTTTCATTCAGACACAGGTCCATAGTTTAATATGTATTACCTAACAACATTTAAAATTTAATATTTAACAATAACTTTGAACTTAATACTAATAGGAACCTTTATTTAATGTATTTAAATGACGATCTATGTGTCGTCATCCAATGCCACATTATGCTATTGTCAAATCTTTTAGCCACAGTGGCTACAAGTCTATTGGGGCTATCGCGCACTCGCCGCATCAGGGACGCTATTCGTAATCTTACTAACGCGTAAAAGTCCGGCACACCAGCACTCGCGAACATCCCCGAAGCACTGCAAAAACGCGGTAGCCCCAGCATTACCCGGAAGGCGTTATTATATTGGATACGCAGAGCGCTGTACGACCTCTGCGTATATATCAAATTTATTAATAATATCAAATTTTAATAATATCAAATTTATTTACTTCTTTTTAGAGCATTAAAATAAAAGCTTGTTTTTAAAAATGTTTTTTAAAATGGCTGGACTGATTTTGACGAGACTTTCGCTGGCACATAGCTGATGTTATAAAGAGTAACTTGGCTACATTTATTTTAGAAAAACAATTAGGGTAAGGACGCATCCGAGCGAAGTTAGGGTAACTCGCTAGTATTATATATAATTTTAATTTGACCCAATTTTAGTTAAAACCAATCGGGGCAGTTTAGTTAGCGGCGCTGTCGCCGCGCGCTGCACTCTTAAATTATGCGGTAAATTCCGATCAGCCGCGGTCGCTCAGTAACTCTCGGCCGCACATTGTGTTTTGTAATACGCTCCCGCGACTAACGTTTTGAACATTGCGTATAAATTGATTTTGCTTTTAAGACCATATAAAACGTTCTAAATTATCGTTTTTAATGTTACCGTTTAGATGGCTGGTCGTTAAACAGGGAATGACTATAAAACCTATTTTTTTAGCTCCGATCCTGAATGCGCTCCGTGCGCTTGTAACAGAAGTATTTTTTGTATACATTGTGTTATTCAATTGCTCGCGGCTCCGCTCGCGTTCAGATGACCAAAAACCAAGTTCTTAGGTTTTACATATTAGTATACTCTTACATTGCAGTTTTTGTATGTTTTCTAAGAAATGAAATATTTTCCCGCGGTAAAAAGTATCCTATATGTTGACCTGAATAACCAGCTATCACCATATCAAATTTCATCAAAATCCCTCCAGTGGTTTTTCCGTGATGCGGTAATAGACAGACAGACAGACAGACAAAATTTTTAAAAACTAGATTCGACCTCTGTATCGATAATAATGTTTATTTCAATAAGATTTTCCAAAAAATAATTAATGTACAGATTCGGCTTGGTTAGAATTGAATTATATGTATAGATTTGTATTTTTCATAAATAAGTAAATATTATTTATCTAAAGTATACCTTTTAGTTAAGTTATAGCCCTCCGCATTGGCTCCACAAATATTTGTGGTAGATAGTAGGTACCTACCTGATGCAATGCGATGACCTTGATTGACCTTCGGGTATAACCGTTCATAAAAAGCTTCCAAATTAAGTAGGTAGGTCCTCCTTTTGGAAGTTTCTCAAAAATTGAAATTTTGAAGAAGTCGGTTAAAATTTTTGTATTTAACGTTCTTGTTCTAACACATGACGTTGAAATTTACTACATACATGAATTACGCAATATGCCAAAAGTAAACCGATGCAAACTTTGATTCTACATTGACGTCGCGCAATGTTGTAAATATCGTCCCCTAAACTTGTGATGCGGGTCATCGCATATGGAACATGTCGTGTCCACATCGCTCTTTTATATAATAATTACTTAATATTGTATAAATAATATGTATAAATGTATTTTTCCAACATTTTATGTAATTGTGGAACGCTATTTCCATATTTAGTGTAATTAAGTATTTGATCTGTGTGAGCTAAAATAATAATGTCATAAGTATGTAATAAACCTGATTAGAAATTCAAATTTTAGGTAAAAATTATATTGCTTTATGTTATTCAGAAGAAGTAGGTGAAACTATCTATGAATTTATAATTGTAGTTAAACTATTCCAAATACCCAAAACTAAAATAAAAATATTTTTTTAAGTAATTTAGTACTTCTTCGATTGATTAATTAATTCGTTTCTGATGACAAAAAGAAATACATTTTTTGTGTATGATTTTGGGATAGATTACTTGTAGTGACTGATGACATGGCGTAATAAACTATACTGTAGGTATATCACGAGCTCGATTTCTGCGTAGGATAACCAGTGTTACATATTTCAGTCTAGACGTATAATGTATTTGTATGTCTAACGAGACATTTTGTGACATTGCTTTAAACGCTAATAGATACATGTTCAATTTCTGCGAAGGGTAAACAGATGATGATAACTTTGAGGAAAGAATAAAGCATTTAAAGCGTACCCGTCGTTGAGCGAGCCGCCGCCCGACGCCGCTGCAGTGCAGGTGCGCGAGCAGCAGGCCCGCTAGCGTGCCCGCCGCGTTGCTCTGCGGGGACGTGTACATCCAGTCGAACGACGCCTCACCCTTGTACGATGCTCGAATCAACCTGACGATAAAAACTTTACGGCTCAAGGAATACATAACTTGAACAAAAACTGGTTCAGAAATATCTATCTCAGTTTAAAAAGCCTTATACAGAAATGATGAGATGTATACGTTTAAGACGACTTAAATTGTTTTTCACCCCTCAGTTGCACGAGTGGAGTGCCATCTTTACGATTTTATTTATCACAATTGGACGACTTTACAGTGTAGCAGTTCACACTTCACAGGCACTTATAAATCAATTTTCAATCGTATACCATCATTTCTGAGACGGATAAACAGACCTGAGGAAATTATATAGATTCCGTTTTATACTGCGGAAACCTAATATTATATTATGTTAAACTTCAAAATTCAAAGGTGTTTTCCACTAAACCTGTGCCTTAACAATTTGTATATTTATATAGTAAATGTACATAAATGCGCTCACTCAGGATTGTGCACAATGATTGTGGGTACGATGCGCAGAACGTAGGCGACCGCGAAGTTCCCGGCGAGCGTGGCGGCGCACAGCGCGCCCAGCACCGGGAGTGCCCCGCGCGCCCCTTCCGCGGGGCTGTCCCCGGGAGCTCCCCCGGGACTCCCCCTGCGCCCGCGCAGCGCCAGTGTCAGAGCCAGCGCCAGCGCGTACAGTTGCATGTCAGCAGCTAGGTACCTTCAATGTTGAAACCGTATTCAACACGTGTAACTGATGTACATACATACATAATGTGTAATAGATTATATTGTATGTACAAAAAAGTTTTTATTAAATACAAGTCAGAAATATCAATGTGTTCGAATTTCTTTGATTTATTGCGAGAAGTCTATTTAATAGGTCAATAGATCACAATAATTTTTCCTTTTTGAATGAAAAATTGTTTTCAAAAATAATTTCTACTCACCAAGTTTGTATCAAACATTTTTCGTCTGTGTTAACTAGATTGCTGACATATAGGAATTGGGTCCACCATTTCTGTCGGCAAATATTCGCCTCCGAGCGCACGAGGGACCGCCACTGCGGGCCGTCGCCGAGCCGCTCCCACCACGTTGTCGCGAACCACACCACTATGAAGTAGCTGGGGCTCACCCTGGACGAAGAGACAAAGTCAAAAAATGAAGTGGAATTCTCAATTTAGTTGTATCATAAACATAATATGTACATTAATGTAAATTGCCATCTCTTATGATAAGGAAAACTGCTAATTTTATTACCCAAAATAAATTATATTTTATCTTTATTATACCTACTTATCAACTAACACCTTTATACTTTCTGTGAGTTTCGCTTCACGTATCCGTCTCCGAGTGCAAAAAATTAAATTCTGCGGCTTCGTAGTTCGCAATTTATGCAGTCGAGATTTTTTGCTTGTAATTAATTTTTTTATAAAGATTAATTAAATATAGGTACGTTTTAACGGTTAATATGGAATAGATAGACTATACGAGTATAATACAATAGGTAAGAGTATAAGTTGTTGTGGGATTTATATTACGACGTATTTTCCCGCGGAAATGAGATAATCTCCCGCAGTTAAAAGTAACCTATGTCACTCTCCAGCCCTCTAACTATCTCCACACATAATATACAAACAAACAAACAAACACACACACACACACACACACGCACATTTATAATATTAGTAAGTATATATTACCTTATTATTCTATTAAACATCATTTTGAAGAAAGTGAGGACGGATGAGCCTCGCTTCTGTTCCTCTAAGAGCTTGTGTGCGAGAAGGAAACTCGCCATGAGGAAGAAGATCTGCACCATGATCGTGCTGTTCGCCAGCAACATGGCGTCTTCCGAACGACGATTCTGATTGAAAATTTTTATTTATCTCATTGTTGTTTACATTGCATTATTTTTTAAGATATTCATTACAATGTATGAAGTCATAAGACAGATTTCAAATTGTTTTCAAAATGTCTTTTTACACTTTGAGAAAATGTGGTATGTTAATTATTGTTCATTTTACGTATATTCGATTTCCACCCCGTGATTGATTGTTTTTACAAGAACAGATAATAAAGGCACTCATACCAGTTCTACATATCTCGTATCACCGATGTACACTTGCGTGCCGAGCCAGCAGACATGCTCCACTATGACGCTGAGCATACAGAGCACTCGGAGCCCGTCGAAGACGCGCAGGTCCGTAGCCCCCGACAGTTGCGCCGGCGCAGTCAGGCGACGCCACGAGTATGTTAGCGACCAAGAAAGTGCCCAGCCATAGTCTAAAAAAGGTAAGCTAGGATATTATGATACCATTTGTAAATACCTGTCATGTAGCTTGTTTTGCAAAGATTATCTCATAAATATTATAAACGCGAAAGTTTAAATGGATGAATGTTTGTTACTCAATCACGCCAGAAAGGATGAACGGATCTAGATAAAATTTAACACAGATATAGATTATAGTCTGGAATAGCACGTAGGTTACTTTTTATCCAGGAAAACATAACGATTCCAGTGGGATAAATTTGTTTCTGTTTTACACAGAGTTTTTCTATTCCGATAAAATACAACTAGGGACAAATCCGAGCAAAGCGAGGGACAGTTGCTAGTTTGATTATATTAAAAAATATATATTGAAATTTAGCTGACCTACTTTTGTCAGTGGGATAACAAAACAAAATTTTAGTAAATAAAATAACCTATTGCTATATTTAGTTTCAGAAGAAAAGAAAAAAAAATGTATTGATGGTAATTATCTAAGTAATGAATAATACTGTCATTTTTCGGTATCCATTTGATAAAACATTAAGAACGCGTTGATGTCTTTTGTTCTGTCACTAATAATAATTACAAATGATTTGAAGATTGCGATGTAACTAATCAGCAGATTTCTTAATACGAGTTTAATGAAATAATTCTGCTTCTAACTTTTCCCTTTTTACTCTATTGCAATTTAATTATAGAACTAAATAGCATTTTGTTTACTTCAGAACACTGCATCTAATGATGAAGAAAAATTGAAATAATTATTGTTTACTTTTTAATGCCATTTTTGCCCAGAGTTATTTATTTCCTTATGAAAATTATTAAATCGGTAACTTATTAAAGTTTCATACTACCAAAGCAAGCGCAATTTTTTAGCCGTCGTCTGACGACCTGGCGCACAAAAACTTACCTTTCTTTGATTCGACGGAGAGCATCGTATCAAGGATGGTGCTGATAACTGTAAACGTTATCAGCAAAGCGACGAGAACGGCAAATCCTTTCTCGCTGGTGCTGAACGAGGGAGAGGGCTCTTTCCCCTTCGTGCAGTAGTCTAGGTGGTACAGGCTCGCCGTCAGATTGTAGCCGGACACCGTGCTAGCGTTTACGCAGGACTCGAGCCTATATGATTTATGACTTACATTTATAAGTATAATGTATAACATATCTGTCTATTGCATGCACCCAAAGTTTTTCTTTACGAAAGTTTAAAATCTTACTATAACGAAAGCGAATTCTTTAGTTGAAAAATAATCTTTTATTTATAAATTAATATGTACTTCAGGGCTTTTTACTATAGTTTAGTATTGCGAAATCAGAGATCGCTGGCAAGTGCCTGGAAACTGGATTGGATTTAGAGCAAAAAAAACTTGTAAAAAGCACATTACTAGATGATCTTAAAGGTAAACTCACCATGTCCCTAGATCGTGTACGTGTGAAGGCGGCGAGGCGCAGCGTCGCGAGAGGCACACCCCTCGGTGCAAACGCGTGTGGTTGAAATTATCAACCCAGTTCGCTGAGAATCTCTGTAACAAATATTACTTTTAGAGCCAAATGATGCGGGTTCAATTCCTAATTTGGGACATGATGTATTTATGTACACACCTGTACGACCTAGATGTAACATATCTAATGAAATATACATATGTATACTTATACAATATTAATCCTTATTTAATTAAATACGTTACGTTGGGCTTTTAATGTAGATAATATATGTTTTTACAGCAAATCATTATCATTCATATTTTAGAATATATCACGTATTTAAAATTACCCAAAAACAATATTCGCGATACCACGCCCGAGCGGCGGCGGCGTGTGCCTATAGTTAGATGTAATCGAGTCGTCCGGTAGAGGCACCGATGTTGAACTGGGAAGTTTTATAGTTTTAAAGGCCTACAAAAACTTTTAAAAATCGACGATAATATGAGCGTACTTCTGAGGGTATACTCGCAATAACTATTCTTATCTATTTTTAAAAACGTGCCTAGTGAATTTATAAGAAGAATTTCTAAAAAATTAAGTATAACTAACACTAACTACTACTAATTTTAGCAGGAACTGAAAACGGTGTAAGGTATGAGGAAATATTAGTCACTTTCTGACCATCGAAGTGTACAAAATGGTTGGTAATCCGTCGCATCAATAACATCAGTTGCGTCGCGTCGGGACGGCCGGCCCTCCCAATCGGAGCGGAACTGCTGTGCGCCTCTTCGCGTAGATGACGAAACTACTAACGCATAAAATACTTTTTAATTTCTCCTTGTATAATTTTTAAATTATTATTTGCGGTTATGGCAATACTTTTTTTATTGATTTTGGGTCTGTTAGACTTTGAAATTAATTTTAGGTTGATAAAATATATCACAGGTCTGCGATGAAAAAGTTTTTGTAATAATTAAATAGTAATATTAAATACATATAACAGATAGATCTTGAATTGTATACATATATTCCAATTATAAACTTTATTTTAACATATAAAAAGACGATGATTTAATATTTTGCTGTGCTATTAGTGGTTTAAAACATAAAAAAATAATTTCTTAAGAATGGTGACTTTTTATATATTCTGCAAAATTTAATTCTCTTGCATATCAGCAATAAAGCATCAATGCCTGTAGTTCATTCAGTTTGGGTTTAAGAAAATAAAATGCACCGAAACCAAATGGTTAATTTGCGGTAACTTAAAAATCATATTATTTCTTGAATTCCAATAAAAACTTAGGATGACTTTGTAAGGACTCCTTTAAATATATGTAATGTAAATTTATATTCTAAAGTTGCACTTTGATCGTTTGCTAAACAATCTACGGTGCTTGAACCGTCAGGTATGAATTATTCCTTCCATCAAGAAATAAGAGAGAGAAATAAGATTTCAAGGTCGTTGGGACGTCGCTATTGTAGCAAATTTGGATGTTTAGATTGTTAGATGGCTTAGAGATGAAGTGAAAAGTCATAAATGAAAACCAACTAAACACATCTTTTTATCGAAAATAATATTATTAATTGTTTGCTTCCTGTATTATATTATAATTTTTTTGTTTTGCACTTATTTTTATTCAAAGTTCAAACATGGTGGTGTATATCATACAAAAACTGTTTTATATTACTTTAAGCACAATTATAATAAAGTTACAGAAAAAAACTTAGCAAAAAATTAATTTGCAGACCTATAATAAGTAATTGTAACACTTCTTAATTAACGAATATCATAATTATGTTTGTAATTAATATTTGATAATTTTTATTTTAATATCATGTCTTAATGAAAAACGCGATTTTTTGTCCATTCTCGAGTTTGACATTGAAACCTCTTGAGGCAGGTATTTGAAAATTACTTGTGAAAACAATTTTTTCGGCGTTTTTTTATGGTCCTGTTCAATGACAAACGAGAGACAGACAGAACACCTGATGGAAAGCAGAACGTGTCGCCCATAACACCTACGGTTCATGCACTTAGGTTTTATGTAACGATAATGCTATGGTAGCAGATTTGAATGCTTAGACTGTTAGATGGCTTAGAGATGAAGTGAAAAGTCATAAATGAAAACCAACTAAACACATCTTTTTATCGAAAAAAATATTATTTGTTAGCTTTCTGTATACCGTTTTCTTTTATTTTTAACCGACTTCCAAAAAGGAGGTTATCAATTCGTCGGAATCTTTTTTTTTTCTTTTTTTTTATGTATGTTCACGGATTACTCGAAGACGCCTGAACCGATTTGGAAAATTTTTTTTGTTTCAAAGGGTATACTTCCCAAGTGGTCCCATATAAATTTTATTGAAATCGCTCGAGCAGTTTTAATAAAATCAAAATAAATATATTTTTTAAATAAATTGTTTAGTTGAATATGTTATTAAAAATATTTCTTCTAACAAATTACCTGCTTATTACGTCTACACTAAAAATGGAAAAATAAAAACTTTTTAACAAAAAATAAAACCGACTTCCAGGCACTAAAATATAAAAAATAACTAAACGGTTTTCATTTAGAATAGATACCTAATCAGATATTTTCGAAATCGGTGCCAGCCTACAATATTTTAAGATATGAACATCTAATAGGTAAATATATATTTTACGTATCGAAATACATATATATTCAGTTAACTGTTAATTCTGTTAACTTTTATTACTGTTTTTATGGCAATAAATACATATTATTATTATTATTACATATATTAGATTTGTTTTGCATCGGCTGGCACCGACTTCGAAAATATCTGATTAGGTATCTATTCTAAATGAAAACCGTTTAGTTATTTTTTACATTTTAGTGCCTGGAAGTCGGTTTTTATTTTTTGTTAAAAAGTTTTTTATAAAAATTATACGCTAAGTTAACCTGTGAAGTATAATTAATATTATATTTTTTTTTGTTTTGCACATGTTTTTATACAAAATTCAAACATATTGTAAATCATACAAAAACTGTTTTATATTACTTTAAGCACAATTATAATAAATATAAGCCGTTTCAGAAAAAAATTGAAAAAAAAAATCGCAGGCCTGTAATTAATATAATTGTAACACTTCTTAATTAACGAAGATTATAATTATATTTGTAATTAATGTTTAAATGAAAAACGCGATTAAATTTTTTGTCCGTTCTCGAGCTTTCTTGAGGTAGGTACCTGAAAATGACTTGTGAAAACAATTTTTTTCGGCTGTTGGAATAATTATTTGTTATTTTCGTTTCATAACGTCTAGTTAAATGAGAAGGTTACCGCTAAGGACTCGAATAGCGGAATCGAAATACCTACTTAAGATATATTTCATAACCTGGTTGGTATACAGCAAGGGAAGTGCATAAAAATATTTCGTAGTGAGAAAAAAAAGGAACACGTGAGGCTAATAAGTTATTTAAGATAACCTTTTTTATTTTTTTTATTTAATCATTTATTTCAGGTAATATTTACAAAAAGATCCTAAGTATATAAACAGAGGCCCATAACATGTACTATTCCTTAAAAAGATGATCGATTTAAACCAATTAAACTAAATAACCAATTAAAAAAATGTGATGACCTTTTTAAGAGGATCACCTTTTTTACAATATTATTAAATTAGTGATTGAGCGTTTTGCACTCCGCTGAGAAAAGGATTATATTGCTGCAACGGAAATGCATAACATAATAATTTTTGTATTCAACCCTTTTTTTTTTAAATGTCCCACTGCTGGGCACGGGCCTCCCAATACGAGGGGGATCTGGCCATAGTCCACCATAATAATTATTGATCTTACTTAATTGTAAGATAATTTATTTACGTTATCCATGATCAGACACAAATTACTTTCTTGTCTTTTTAAAAAGTGGCGTCGACATGTGACGATAAGTCAAACGAAATAATAAAATTGAAAGTTCTAATTGTCTTAACACAAAATCGAACTTACGCGCATATCTAAAACAAAAGTAATGAGGATACCTTAAAAATACATATTAAAGTCAACAATATTATACCTTTGAATATGTTCAAGTATATGTGTATCTCGGCAAGCAAATGTCGTTAAAAAAGTAGAAACTGCGAAAAGCTAAACAGAAAAATAAATTTAGCCTGGAACAAGTTTTGGAGCAATAAAGAAATACTTAAATCAAATCATAATGTAAAACTTAAGAAAAAAATCGTAGAAAAGCACTGTAAAAAAATTTAAATGGCAAAGGGCTGGTCATGTTGCAGCCTTACCTGATGATGGATGGAGTAAAAAGGTAACCACATGGGCCGGCGCTAAAGGTAAAAGAAGAAGAGGAAGATCTATGGAAAGATGGATGGGCGAGGTATTGAAAACAGCAGGGACAGACTGGTTCGACAGAGTAAAATACCAAACTACCTGGAGACACATGGAGAGGCCTTTACTTGATGAGAGATCCTTAGTTTAAAATAAATAAAGCTTGCTAAATTTAATTTATTTATATTATAAGTTAATTTATTTTATTCTAACTATTTAATAATTATCAGTGAGTCGCGATATTGCCTTTTATATATAATAATAAAAGTAGGTGTTGAGAGTATACTCGTACCTTAGGAGATGGCTGATGCCAGCCGACAATGCTTTAAATTATTAATATCTAATAGGCAAATATGACTAAGTATGAACTCTTAATTAACTGGTAAACACTGTTTTTGTCACACGAATTTTATGATCATTTTTGTTGATGTACCCTATTACAAAAAATATACTTACTTTGCTTCCATCACGTCCAGTTTTTTTGTAACAACTGTATCTTATAATTATATGATAAAATATAATCATTTTTACCTTTAATATATATTGGATTTCGTTTGAATAACTTAATTTCGGTTTTCAACCGACTTCAAAAAGGAGGAGGCTCTCAATTCGACTGTATTTTTTTTTATGTTTGTTACCTCAGAACTCCGTCATTTATTAACTGATTTGGACAATTTTTGTGTTGTTTGAAAGTGTATACTTTCAGATTAGTCCCATTTAAATTTCAAAAAAAATACCACCCCTAAGGGTGGAAAAACAACTAATGATGAATTTAACCTACTTCTAATTGTCATATTGACTTGAAACTTCGCAAGTGTTTCTATTTCCGTTGATAGTACAGAGGTTCGGTATTATTGACCTGATCTGATGGTAAGGCCAGAAGGTGGATAGGTGGAACTCTTCAACGGCTAATAGTAGATACTTTGAGTTTGGGCTTATTTTGTTTGATTTGACAAGCCTAACACGTTAGAATTCTTACTTTGGTACTTTGTATGGGCTGGCACCGATTTCGAAACTATTTGATTAGGTATGTATTTAATAGGTAGGCTTTAATTACTTAGCCAAAGCACACCGACTTCGAAAATATTTGATTAGGTATGTATAGTAAATAAAAACTACCAATCAGTTATTTTTTACTTTTTAGTGCTTTTGTTTCAAGTCGGTTTTTATTTTATTTTTTAAAGTTTTTCGGCTAAATAACTATCGTATTTAACTTGCTTAAACTAATTGACGTTTGTTAGATTGTAAATATGCCATGAAAATATTTAAATAACCCAGATAGCTTTTATTATGTGTGTAGAGAATTAACTTTTGTGTCTCAGCGTCTCAATTTTACACCATTAATAGAAAAGTGTTATTTAGACTATTTTGGTTGTCCTGTGCGCCATCAAAGCAAATCTTGGATTACAAGTACATATGTGTTGTAAACCATGTGTGAGACTCATATTAGGTTAGGTTAAAGTATCAAGACATTTGACATTTGGTATACCAATGAATGGGACAGTAGAGACAGACAAAGTTACTATATAAAGAAAGCAGAGCCCAAATGTCAATTGGTTTGGTTGAGCACAAATACGGAAACTAATGAAGATACAGAAACAGAATGATCAGTAAATTATTTTGTTAATGTCCCTCACAATTTTCTAGGTAACCATAGAGCGAAAAATAACAAAAAAATAATTTTTAAACTTATAATGTCCTTGAAAATACATATTCTGGACTCTCATTTGGATTTCTTTCCCGAGAATCTGGGTTAAGTCAGTGACGAACAAGGTAAGAGATGCCACCAAGACATTCCCATAATGGAGAAGCGTTTTCAAGGGAAATGGAGTCCTGAATGTTAGCCGATTATTACTGGAGACTTAAAAGAGATCTGCTAGAAGCGAAATATTTACAAAAATCATAATAATTTATTGTAGAGTAAATAATATTTGTGCAAGTGTAGATGATTTTTGTATTTTTTTATGAAAATATACCTATGCTTTTATATCACAAAGAAACTGGACGTGTCTATTTTTTTCATTTATATATTATTATTAGGTATCTATAGTATATTTGAAATTTGATATAAGTTTTCGTGTTACAAAAAAAAGTTTAAATTTTGTAGACCAGTGATAGGTATAGTTAAAATATTATAGGTAGGATGTGTGATGTATTAAAAATAACGAAATATCTTGGTCACGGTAATGTAATATTTAATACTAGCAGCTCACCCTCGCTTCGCTCGAGTTCGCTTCTAGAAAAACACTAATAGAGATCCTTTAGTTCTCACGGAAACCGTTTATTTTTCCGGGATGAAAAGTAACCTGTTGCAGACGTTTGACCGGCAATATGAGGTATCAGAATGTTAAATTTTACTAAATTAGGTGGATAAGTTGTTGTGTACTAAGCTGTACAAGATACTATAGTTTTTTAACTATCCCACGGGAACTCTTTAATTTTCTGGGATGAAAAGTATCTAAGATGTTGCCCTGGCATATAAGGTACCATACAAAATTTCATTTAAATCGGTCCAATACATTCGAAGATTAGCTCGTACAAACAGACAAACAGACACAGAAACAAAAAAATTGAAAAAAATCTGGATTTGTTCTATTTGTCTTCCCCCCTCAGACTCGGTTTTCAGCATTTTTTTGCTATGTACAGACATTCGACCTCTACTGTTTTATTATATTTAATATTACCGTGGCTTTGCTTTGCTTTGCATCGGCTGGCTCCAACTTAAATAAATATCTGATTAGGTATCTATAGTAAATGAAAACCCCCGTTCAGTTATTTTTTACTTTTTAGTGCCTTTTTTGAAGTCGGTTCAATTTTAATATTAATCGGTACGATTATTTGACTTTTAAAATATTATTACTTGGAAAATTATACTCCTTGTAGCTCAAAAATCTTATAGTTATATTTTTAATAATTATATGAATGCAATACAGATATTTTACATGTTAATATGTTCCCTGGCGTGTTACGCAACAAGAAAGATACGGTAGCCGCAAGACAATATTATTAAAATTAGTAAATGAGCATTATGCACTCCGCTGAGGACAGCAGTGTGTTGCCGTGATGGAAAAACACTATTAAATGATCTTACTCAATCGTGACATAATTCATTTACGTTATACATGATCATGCACACTAAGGCGAGTCACAAATTTTGGGACGTCGTCCATTTACGTCTATTTTTGCGTTTATTTATAAATTGAGGTACATCATCGGGATATCGAACCCGTAAAACATACATACAAATTATTGGCGGCCATAAAACTTATATACATACAGAAATGATCATAGTAAATTATAACCATAGTATACATATATATACTTCATATATAATTATTTTGTCTTATAAGTTCACAAAGCAAACCGACACGGACAGACAGTTGTGTTTTATATTATCTACAAAAAAATGTACTTTCTTATGCTTATTTATTATGTTTTTCACAAATCTGTACCTGCATAATGCTAAATAGTTGGTTCTTCCCGATGGGAGAGAGCTCAAAGCTGCCGAGGCAGTACGTGCCGCGCGTCCCCACGCAGCTGGGGTAGTCGTCCAGCTCGAACAGACGCGGCATGGCGTAGTATTGCTCATCTAAACATTTCGTACATTAAAGTTAACTTACAAGGAAAATATATGGTAGAGTCTTATCCTTAAGTAATTTGGTATTATACAAATCAAAGTGTTTGGCTTTAAGTTTAAATTCATTTCGTTTAGATTATATGAGATGAAATGAAAATTAGTAGATAAAACTGGGTAGCAAAATTAAAAAAGCGAAGAAATGCTATTTTCATATTACATTCGAAATGATACTGAAGTCTGTGTACTTCATTTAACCTCCGATGCAAAAAGAGGGGATATATAAGTTTAACGTGTGTATTTGTCTTTCTGTCTGTGGCATCGTAGCTCCTTAACGGATGAACTGAATTTAATTTAGTCTGTTTTTGTTTGAAAAGAGACTTGATCGATAGTATTTTTAGCTATAAATGAAGAAAATCCGTTCAGCCGTTTGCTGGCTGTCAGCTCCTTTCTAGACGGTAATAAGATATGGACAACTTCCACAAATCCAATCGATTCAAAACTTGGTATCCCGTTACTTCAATGACATTGCAACGATATGGTAACTTAGGCCAGACTTTAGGCCACTTTCAGATGACGCTGACACTTTCTATTAAAACACTACAGAGATATAGTGTTATTAGTTTTATTTCTATTATTCGTGTTATTAGAGGCTCATTGTAATGGCCTCAATTAACAGGTTATTGAGGTGGCGTTTTCAAAAAAAATATAGTTAAGAGTTATAATTAAATAGTAACTATTGCATTTTAGAAACAAAATATAGAGAATATTAAAATAAAACAGGTAATAAAATATGAGATACTTGACACTTAGGAGACAAATTATACAAATATATTAAAATATATTAAAATTGTGTATTATAGAAAAAACCATTCAATAAATAAAATAAAACGTACCGGTAAGTTCCATGATAACATCGTTATCAGAAACATCAGATAAAAGGGTTTCAATGAAAGCCTGTCTGATGTTTTTGTTCATAGTCTCATCACTAGCGGCCAAATAATAAGCTTGGAAATTATCGTTGGAGCTAAAAACGCCGTCAACAACTAGTTTTTGAGGATCATGACCAAAGAAATATCTTCGATTATCAGTCCAGTTATGATTTCCTTCAACATTATTGATATTGTTAGTTGTATTGATATCATTTTTATATTTTTTAATGGACAGATGATAGAGACCTTCATGGTCATCATCAAGATATGCGAAAAAGTCGTCTTGAATGCGGCTGTGATTAATCTTAATTTTCAGTTTGTAAGAATTATTGTCGCCAGCTGTTAAGTTAGCTATATCTTCATTATTATTAAGCCGAGTTAAATTACAAACATATGAATTTTCATCGTCGCTCGTACTATTTATAGTGCAGTTATGCACATTTCGATTTCCTATATCGTAGGTGAATGCGCGTGCGCATATCAACGCAAGCATGAACGTCCGCACCGGCGTCATCGCGCTCACTGAGCACCGCTGTACTGTTTGCATAACTCGTTAGCTACCACTTTATATTAGATTAGAAGAATTCTAATTCGAATCCCTTAATTACTCTACATAAAAAATTACGATTGGCCTTTATGATAAATCTAAACGAATCAGGAAGTAGGCACACTAAGCATAATGAAATAAAAAATTTTATTTAGTATTACTAAATACTATCTTACCTTACTGATATGATTATAGGTTGAGGATTTATCCTAAAGATAACCATTAGGGGTATTTGTTTGTAACCCCTATACCATCGGTATCTTTTTTTTAGGGTTTAATTTTTTTAAGAACTTCACATGTCATTCGGAGATAAATTTTATTAAAAAAAAAACATTTATAACAAGTGTTATACTTTTTCTTATGTTATTTGTGAGCTTTTTTCCCCTACGTGCGTGAATTGTCAGTCCGATTTTTTCACATTTCGAAATTAGACTTCTCTATCGTCTACCTAGCGAGCTATTTACATCAGACCTACCAACAAAGTTTTTGCTTAATATTATCAATAGCCTTTAAGTAAAGTGGCTGTGACATACGGATGGTGGATATGACGAAATTAGAAATTTTCTGTCTCTATCTTCCTTTTAAACTACGGAACAGTTAAGCTGTTTTTGGGCGCAAATTTTCTAATGTGACGCCGCGAGATGCAAAGATTGTTTCGTAAAGAGTGGATCAAAATCGTTAAGATCTGATGGGTGTGCGAGAACTATATTACACAGTTACGCAAAGTTGTAATTAAAAGTAATATGTACATAAATGAAATATTTATAGAATGATCAGTAGGCAAATGAGATTAGGTCAATGGACGACACGTTTGGCTCAGTTTGTAGCGACCGTACTTGCTGTGCCATCGGTTGCGGGTTCGAGTTTCGCTGGGAGCATTTAATTGTGTGATGAGCACAAATATTTTAACTGTCTGGTATCCATAACACAAACTGCGTAGCTTACCATGGAATTAGATGATACTGTGTGTAAACAAAAATGTTTTAGTTCCCAAACATTTTTAAAACTAAAAAATCCCGAGTATGACGTATATTCGTATGCAATCAATCTACATATATAACTATAACCAATGAGTTTATGAGATAAGTAGAATAAAAATAAACATTCCGTAATAGGTGTTGGAACTATGGGTCGGCTCCGGAGCATGGGCCTCATTAGTGCAGTTTATTTTCCTTTCTACATAAGCGCGGCCAGAAAACATGCGATTACTGGATACTTAATATTTGTATAATCAAATAGATTTCTTTTAAAAATAGAAACTACCTTTTCGGACTTTTTCGCCGTTTTTTTTTCATTCGAAACGTCCGGAACCAAAAATTTAAATAAATCTGCGAAAAAATCCGAAAAGATAGTATTATTTAAAATAAAATGTCAAATATTCGCGTAAACGTAAGAAACTATTATTAGATTCCTTTTCTTCTGATTGTTTTAAAATGATTTCTTATTTATTTTCTGTTTCATAACATGTACATTTTTTTTAATTTATTTAATTCAACATACAAGCCATACTAAATTATAATTAATTTTTATTATTGGTTTCCAATATTTCAGATTCTTTACAGCGGCTGTATATATGTATATTGTATATATGTATATGGCGTGCTCTAAGGGCTGATATATATATATATATATATATATATATATATATATCACGCCGGTGTGATGGCCGCGCGCAGCGTTGCGCCGGCGGTCGGGCCAGTTTGTAGTTAACGCAATCTGAATGGGAGCGACACACTGACAGCGAAAACGCTTACTACTATAATACCCTTTGTATATTATTTTTATCGCCTCAATGTCTATAGTAAAATTATAATTGGGGCTTTTGTTATACTACAATATGGTTTTTTTAAATACATCTGGTGGAATAAACATAATATTGATGATATACTGATAGATGTAAGTAACAGAAGGTAAATCCTAAATTTTAATTTTTGGTTTGATAGAAATACTCGGGAATAGCTATTAGAATAACAACTAGTCGAGTGGATTCAAAGCTAAGCATAGCTGGAGTCGCACTGTTTAACTCGTTCCTACATACGGTAATATTTTATGTTTTCAAAGTAAACAGAGCGAACGTGCAATCGCAGGCAATACCTATTTACAATATTTATGTGGTCTTGATGAAATTAAGTGAACTGATGTTCATCTATTTTTGGTAGATTTTTTAGTTACTGCACTCAACATTTTATTTCTTAAGTTAAAAGGCTAAAACAGGGCCCTTATAATTTCGCCATATCCATCTGGCCGTCTGTCCGTGTGTCACAGCCATTTTACTCGAAGATTAAAGGTAGCTAAAACTTGGTAGGTATTTACTAAAGGTATTACCAAATTTCAGCAATTCTGTCGTCAGATTACAAAAAGAAATAATAAGGAAATATAGTGTTGGCACTTCATATTCGTAACTGAGATATTAAAGAAAATTTAAGTCCATAAAAACTTGTAGGAATTTTTGGATAGGTCTTGTAAATTCAGATTGATTATTCTTTGTTTAAATTAATAAAAGTTACTTTTTTGTTTTAATTAATAATATACTTCTAATTTCGAAACCATTGTGTCTTTTGAAGTATGAATCGGAAAGTTTTGAAAAAAATTGAAATAATAGAGCTCCCAAAATACTTTCAACAAAAACTATTTCAAAGAAAATACGTTGAGATATGGCACATTTTTATTCACCTATTTTATTTTTATTAACCTATTCATGCCGTTAATAAAATGAATATCCTAGACGGTTAAATATTATATTTAACGTTTAATATAAAAATATTAAAAGGACTACGATACCAAATATTAATTTACTTTTTGAAGCTACGGAACCCTTGGTGTGCGAGTAACATTCGCATTTGTCCGTTTCTTTCACTCTCAAAGGATCTCATCAAAAGACGATTAGGATAGTGTGTAGATAATATTACGTAGGTAATTTGTTGTTGTTTGTTGTAAAATCACTTGTTGCTCTTTGCAAAGATATACTTAAAATAAAGTACAAATATTGAAATAAAAATAATAATTATAGTTAATTATAAAAAATCAAACTGCTAGATATAATAATGTTCTCCTGACCAATTCCGGCCACGGCGGACAATCTCACTGAGACTAGCCAGATGCTCAGGATATGTTATAGTGCACAAGTGTGCGCGCACTCTGTATTCCTTTTCCTCTCAAACTCTGATGGGACGATACTTTGACACGACCGTTGAGAGTTAAGGATTGAGGCGCAGGATCGACAGCTTTACGTGCTCTCCGAGGCACGGGGGTTAGACACCGCCAACTTCCCAACTTCGGGTTACTACTGAGGAAATCTTAACAGAAAAACTCAGTAATTAAACTTGGACCGACCCGGGACACGAACCCAGGGACTCCGGATCTGCAGCCGTACATGCTAGCCACTAGACTACCGAGGCAGATAACGACTAGATACACTAGCTACTTATAAAGTACATACACCGGTAGTACACACGTACATACACTTAGATTATTTATATATGTAGTATATACATATAGAGTATAATACATATACTTTATAAGTAGTGTATCTAGTCTTTTATGTGTGTGTGTTGATATCCTTTCCTTTTGTTAGCTTATTTTATAGCCACATCTCCGTAAATGATTATTATATATTCTAAAGGTTAGTAAAAATCAAACACGTGTAATAAAAAAAATGCTATTTACATTTTGCCAGGAGCTGAATTCATTTATTTTTATTGAGACTATACGATTTTTGTCGTTTTATGAAATCAAACCTAGTACAGAATATACGAGCATAAATGCATATTTATATTATTTATGATTTCTTTCTACTTTAGAAAGCGATGATCGAAAACCTTTTAGCCCGTCTATTCTACTTTAAATAATTATAATTTATTCGTAGACGTGTGGAATTTTTTTACGGAGCAGAAATAAAATAAAATCCCTACGACAATTTTGGTGATAAAAAAAATTATACATAGTTTTAATACATTTGTAAGTGAAACACAGTTTGAAAAGTGATACATAATGTATTTTATTTCAGTAAAAAGATTTAAACTACAAATGAGGTTAATGTAGGATTAAATGCTTGGCTTTATATTAATACTATTGCATTTATAGTTTGGTTATATTTCAGTCAAAAAGGAGGTATTTTCACCTTGAGTTATGACAGACACTTCACACTGTGACTCCCTCACCTTCTGTTCTCAATTAGTATCAAGATACTGCATCTGGAGCAATGCCGGAACACGACAAACTGTCGGGTCAGTGGGCACGGACAGCCATCGTGTCGCTACCTCCTGTGTTCACGTACAAATGTCATGGCTACCATTTCCTGATTTAACCATCTTATAATAACAAGATCGTTTTGTAAATTGTGAAAATATGTATCAAAAATCCATATAATTATTATAGTATCAAGTATAAGTCCTGACAGAATAGTATTACGCGCATGTTTTGATGTGATTAATCTATACATACTCGTACTGGTATAATAAAATTCTAAGCCGAATCTGTACTTTAAATATTTTTTGGAAAATCTTAATGAAACAGTCATTATTATCGATAAAGAGGCCAAAATAGTTTTAAGAATCTTTGTCTGTCTGTCTGTCTGTTACCGCATCACGGAAAAACCACTGGAGGGATTTTGATGAAATTTGGTATGATGATAGCTGATTGTCCGGGTCAACACACACACGCTACGCATACGCATGCTGTATTTACCTATAATTAAAAGCGCAATTAACATGTTAAATGTAGTGTATAATATTTTTATTATTTTATTTCCGGCCTAAAATGGTCCGACCGCTGATGCAGCGTAAAGGACCTGTATCGCACACCCTCTGTCACCGTGTTAGCGCTCAGGGCCTAACGTGAAGTTCAGGGTGCAGGGTGAAGGTCAGGGTATAGCTTTAAGTTCAGGGTGCAACATGAAGTTATAAGAGGCTCGGCAGTAGTCAGCGGGCAGTGTCGACAGCGCCCGCGGGTGAGTGCGACATGTGGCCAGTGCTAGTGCTCGCGAGCGCCGCCGTGGTCTCCGGGACCACTGCGAGGAACTTCAGTGGTACGTTTTAGGTTTTCTTTTACTATATCATTTTAGTCTCGTTTTTTTTAACATTGTATTTAATATGTATTTTTTTTTTAATTTTCACAATTTGTAAGGGCTTATATATAATAATTATATTTAATTAAAAACTTAAAAATATTCATTGATTAAGAAATGATGATTTTTAATAATTGCTCAAATAATTATTTGAACGTAAAATAATTGAAAATAATAAGATACTAGGTTGATTCCCCATACAAACTTTCATCCCCATTTTTACCCCCTTAAGGGATGATTTCCAGGATAAAATGTCATAAATCCTATGTCCTTTCCAGGGTCTCAAACTATCTTCTTACCAAATTTCATGTAAATCGCTTCAGTAGATTCAGAGATTACCCCTTACAACGTCACAAACCCACAAACTCACAATTCACAAACTTTACCTCTTTATAATATTATCTTTATAATATTAGTATAGATATCTATTAGGACATTATTGTAGTGTTCTTATTAATTTACTAGCGGCTCACCCTCGCTTCGCTCGGGTTCACCTCTAGAAAAGCACAAACAGATCTATCCTACGGGAACCGTTCATTTTTCCGGGATAAAAAAGTAACCTGTTGTTTGACCGGCAATATAAGGTATCAGCATGCCAAATTTTACTAAATTGGGTGCGTAAGTTGTTGTGTACTAAGCTGTATAAGTTACTACAGTTTTTTAACTATCCCACGGAAACTCTTTAATTTTCTGGAAGGAAAATTATCTTAGATGTTAACCGGGAATATAAGGTACTACCATGCAAAATTTCATTTAAATCAATTAAAAATAAAATGTTATTTGAATTATTACTTCATAATAATCTTTTATGTTATATTTACTTCAGTTTTGTAACAGTAAATGACTAATGTAAACATATATTTTATATAAATAAAGCCATCTTCTTTATACCTTGCGCAAATAAACAATGGAAGCTAAGACTTGTAATAAATTATTGTAATTTGCATATAATAATAGTAAAAAATTAAATGGGAATGTTAACGGTTAGAAATCACAATCGAACAGATGAAAAGATCAATTACCTATTATGAGATAGTAGAAGAATATTTATAACTTATATTAGTGTCCGATACAACGTTCTTAAATTATTAAATGCCATTAAAATTTTTTAAATGCGAGCATAATCTATGTATAAATATCTATGTATAAATCTGAAAGTTTGTATGATTGTCACTTCTTTAAGTTGAAACGGCTGGACCGATTTTGATGAAATTTTGTACACAGATAGATTTTAACCTGGAAAAATACATAGGCTACTGATAGGCATCTAACGAAGGGGAAAATTCCAGACAATGATCACTTACGACTGCCGCAACTGTTCCACCTCGACAACTTCGAGCGGTGCCTCGCGCGTCCGCAGGGCCTCTACTGCACTGGGACCTTCCGCATCTCTGCGGACGGGCCCAACCCATACTATGACTTTATCAAGGCAAGTTATATGAGTATTATTTTTAAAGCACAAAATATAACAAATATTTTAAAATACAACATAATGTCTGAATCTTAGCAATATTAATTCAGATACAAAAACACACAAATTCAAACAGTATTATTGCATATTATAAATCCCAAGTTACGCTGACTTTGTGCTTGTTCGTTTGTTGTGATTTCCATCAATACAGCTATTTTAACCCCTAAGCTACTGGTATGATGATATTTGTGTATTAAGTCGGAAAAAATCGTCCCTTCGGTAATAGTGTAAATGTGAAGGACATCTTCGGCCGTGCTCGTGAGTCGTAGAGCGAGGATGGATAACTAGTTTAATATATAATTTTGACTTTTGTATGGTTATTTATATATTCAATATTTAAATGACTTTTCTAAATAATTTATGCATCAGGAGTATTCATCGGACGAGCAGCACTTCGACCGCACGCTGATCCACCGTGGGTACTGCCTGAGCGCAAATTGTCCCTCACCCGAGCGCAATGTATCGCGGCGCTTCGAGCTGTGCGCCGAACGCCGCGCAGTGCCGGGCCTGCGCGCCGCGCTGCAGACATACTCCTGCCAGACCCCGCGAGAACTGGAGCGGGGAGAGATGGACACCCCCCAGAAACTGTTCCTCGCGGTGATGCTCCTCATCCTACTCTTCAATATTATTGGCACTGCGTATGATGTGATGGCGGGAGGTGAGGGCAGTAAGTGGGGCTTATAAGCCTATTTTTTTACATAACTTTCTGGTTTACTTAAATTCAGAAACCAAAAGCATTTCCATGTAAAAAGATACAAATTAACAATAATAATTATAGATCATAAAGCTAGTAAGCATAAAGTCAGTGAATATAATGTAATGATACTTTAGGTAATTGGTTTTGGTGCATATTTAAGCACGGAAAAAGATAACCTTATAATATGTGACCCAAAGCTTCCGTCAAGAGAAGCGGAAGGCCGCGTGAGTTCCTTCACATTTGTTTCTCTCATTATATATATTTTTAAATGAGTTAAATTTTCAGATTTTGAATCACGTTATTGTTAAAGTCACGAACGCAAGTTGACAGAGTGCATGACTTTAAAGTAGAACTTCTTTAATATTTTTAGCAAATTCTTTACTCTGAATCAACATATATTATTATTTCCATCGTAAATAAATAAAAAAAACCATGAGAAATAATATGATATCTCTCTCTTTATATTGAATCAATAGAAATTTTTCTTTTTTTTTATAATTTGTGTCTTTTTAGGGTTCCGTAGCCAAAACGCAAAAATGTTGCCCTTATAGAGTGTGGCTCTCCATATGATAGATATGCGGTAGTATAATCTAAGTACCTGAAAACTGAAAAAAAATCTATCCACATAAGTATAATATAGCGTATGTCTGAATAGGTTTTCTATTTGAGTTACATATTACAAAGTAAGTTTTTTGTTTAAGCCAATAGTTATGGAGTTATCTTTGAAGTCGTATACACTATCTTTATAATCAAATTTATAAAAAATAATATAAATCGTGTTAAATAGTTTTTAAGTTTTATAATTAATATATATGTTAGTTTTAAGGTATATATACTAATGGGCCTTTGTTTACATATTTAAGATCCTTTTGTAAATATTGCCTTAAAATAAATAATTAAATAAAATAAATAAAATATAATGTTAGTGAGATTTTAAGTATACAGAGATGGTGGTTTAAATTCAGAGAACAAATTGTTGCTGGCGTGGTCGATGAGGGAGAACTGGCGCAGGCTGGTCGCGCTGCCCGCTGCCGACGACGCCGAGCACGCCGCGCTCGCGCCTCTGGACGGCGTGCGGTCAGTACTCACTACTGCTACATGTTTTATAATATTTGCTTTAAAGCGTGCCCATGCGTGGGCTATAATGAGTCTTAAACAAGGTACAAATATTTGTTCCAGAGTGCTGTTACTGGTGCTGGTGATGATGACTCACGCAACACAGATCTTACACAAAGTCTATCTCTACAACCCAGAGTTCTTCGAACAGGTAAATCCACCATGCTTTCGTATAGTTCAAGATCGAGCTAAAATGTTTTTGCGATTTTAAGAACTACTCAAAATGTGAATATAACTTCAAGGGCTTGCGTATAATTTCCTCGCAGAATCCTACAAAAATTGGAAGGATAATATTTCATATTACAACATTGCTTTCATCTCGGAGTAAAAAATATGATGATTTTAAATGAATTTAATTTTGATGATGATTTTAAAATAAAATGCTTTTCAACTACGCCCAATAAAAATGATGATATCTAAAAATAATTTGGTAAAATGTCTGTCATTTAACTAATATCCTACAATAACTACACCTTGTCTCATCATGTCATACCGCGGTGACGGTGACTTGACGCGGGTGCACCGCTCGTGCTGTCGCGTCTCACTGCGGTGACCGTGACAGTGACGTGACGTGACGTTGACGCGCAGGTGCCGCGGTATGGCGCGTCGATGCTGATGCGCAACGGTGCGTCGCTGGTGCAGGTGTTCTTCGTGCTGTCGTCGTTCCTGCTGGCGCGCGCGGCGCAGCGCCTCCCGCGCACGGTGACGCTGCGCCAGCTGCCGGCCTGCGTGCTGTACCGCGCCGCCAGGTATTGGGGGAAGAAGCTATATTTGAAAATGGATATAAGCTAAAGTTTCGTTATATTTAGAAATTTTAGAAATTACTACTGAGATAACCTCACTTCATTCGAGTATATCCAAAGAAACTTTATTTTTACTTAGCCTATGTATTACTCCAGGTCATAGTCTATGTGTATAATAAATTTAATTTAAATCCATCCTAACGTTTAAGCGTGAAGATATAACAAACATACACACTTATAATGCTTTTGAGAAAGAGGTTCTACCTTCCACATTTAACATAGCAGCGCACAATGAAAGTGGATCAATGGATAGAGTACAGTTAAACTAACAAATAATACTTTTCATATAGCTTCCTAAAATGTCACAATTTCAGATATTTTGAGGTGAATTTCATTTGGATTAGAACGACGATAAGTATTTTTGATTATAATTGTAGACTATTAACACATATGACTTCCTTTTTTAATGATTGTTATCGTTTTCGTATGGTGACCTTTACTTTTAAAACGGTCGGTCGCCTATTGATTTTAACAGAAATGCTATTAAACGAAATTTAAACCCTGTAGTGAAATCTCGTGGCAAGTTATACATAGTTACACCACACCCCTACAAACATTTCCTAATTGTTTTAATATATAAAAGTATGTATGGCAGTCGGTTGTATCACTCCTGACATGACCCGCACGATTAATCTATCTAGACGCCTTCTTACACAACTCTATGCCGTAATGCATAGAGTTTTTCCCCCTTAACTCAGATAATATCGATCGCACCAAAAAATGACTAATAAATAAAATGTAGAAAATTGAATAATGAACAACTTAGTTCTTATAATTTTTGTCGGAAAATTAAAAATGGCCGAGATATTTAGGAAAAATTATTCCCCCTTAAAATCAAGATGGCGGCTAACGCATCACTCGAATTTGGTCACGAATTTGTATTTACACTCCTAGTGACTCTCACCTAAAGGCTGGTAAATTAAAATTTTGGCCTAGAATTTTTTTGGGGTTCAATGGCAATCTGACTGTGCTATTATTAAATACATTTACCTTAACAAGGCTAAAAAAATGTGTTTTATTAATATATGTACATATAAATCGGAAAGATAAAGCTTTGTTTTTAAAATAGAAGAAATAAACTGCTTTAAAGTACAATAAGTGTTGGTCGCTTGGACAAACAAGCAGACTGTGCTACTATAATAATGTCTGACTGTAGGCTGGCACCGCTGCACCTGGTGTGCGTGGGGTTCGCGGCGACATGGTGGAGCGCGAGCGGTGGCGGCCCGCAGTGGCGAGCGCTGGCGGCCGAGGGCGCCGCGTGCCGCCGCAAGCTGTGGGCGCACGCGCTCTTCCTGCATAACTTCGTGGAGCCCGATAATCACTGCCTCTTGCCTACTTGGTGAGTCTTTCGTTTCACTTCACAATAGACACAATAAACACGTCTTTTTTATTTTTATTTCTATATATGAGACGTGTGTCGCTGGTGCAGGTTTTTGGCAGTGGAGATGCAGCTGTTCGTGGTGACGGCGGGCGTGACGCTGTGGCTGCGCGGGCGCGAGGGCGAGGGCGGGGGCGGGGGCGGCGCGACGCGCTGGCTGGTGGCGCTGCTGACGGGCGCGGTGGCGCTCAACGCTGCGCTCGCGCACTACTACGGTTGGAGCTCCTTGCTCTACATCATGCTGCCCGAGTGAGATATCTCATTGTACATAACTAATATCTTACGTTGCAGATATACATCAGTCTGAAAAGCTATACATATTTTAAGCGTCCTAGGAAGCTTATATAATAGTATTTGATTAAAATACAAGATAGGAATATACAGGCCATATGGATATAAAATATACTAATACTGATTAATATAAATTAATATCTAGCAATAAAATCAAGGAAAACTGGAGAACTGGACGGTTAATAACATTCCAACTCCATATGTAGCACTCGCTACACGAGGAAAACTGTAGGTAAATGATAAAAAAGTAATTGCTTTTGCGTCCTTTGTTGTGTTCACAAATTAAAAGTAGCTTCATTTTTTATGAAAGAATGAATGAATATTTTCTAAATTTATTAGCAGAAAATTCTCTGACACTAAAAATCTGAATTCACTGCGTTGTCGTTTCCATCAGCATTTCTTCTCAGGACTAAAAATGTTTTGTTACTACTGGAAGAGTTGTAGACAAACAATAAGTGTACCTCTTTCTAAAATATCAATATTTAATAAATAAAAAAAACGGTTCTCAAAAGACAAAAATATCTGAATCTTATGTGGGATTAGAATATTTATACATTAGTGTAAATTTTGTATTTCATTCATATATGACACGTGGGACACCACATGTGCGCGCAGGAAGGTGCGCACGACGTTCGCGGGCGAGGCGTCGTTCAGCCGCTACTACACGGCACCGTGGGGCAGCCTGCCCGCCGCGCTGCTGGGCCTGCTCGCCGCGCGCGCGCACCGCCATGGGCGGCTCGAGCAGCGCAAGGTATGCGCCTGGCTACTATAATAAGATTTCATTTAATTATTACCTTTTAATAATTGTTAACTCTTATTAGGCTTTTATTTTTTAAGGAAAATTAAAAGATAATATTTAATATTGTTAGAAATTTTATATTTATTTTTGTTAAGTACCTATGTCTCAAAACCTTAGTCTCTCGGACCATGATTCATACATATTCAATTTATTTACAAAATCCGTCAATGAACAAGATCGCAATCCTCATTATTGAAGGAACGCAGACTAAAGTTATAAGAGTATAACACACTAACACACCACCAGTGGTTCCGTGTGTCGTCGCGCGCGGCGCTGCCGCTGCTGGTGGCGTGCCTGGCGGGCGGGCGCGTGCCGCCGCGCGCCGCGCACGCCGCGCTCGAGCGCCCCGCCGCCGCCGCGCTCGCCGCCGCCGCGCTGCTCGCGTTCGTCGCGCCGCTCGACAGTGAGTATGCCCGCCGCCGCCCTACACTGGGGTAAACCGCCCTACGCCACTCTGCGTCATGCTACAGTGCATCACACTATATTCAGAATAATGCAAAAATTACTGTTTTATCTAGCGTTAAAGATACTATAGGTTTGAAAAAATAAACTATCAACCGAAATAATTTAAATCATATTTTTACGGAAGTAATTCAAGCCGTTACTTTTCTGAGTAAAGGATAGATTTTCGGTTTAATTTACTAGATTTATATTATTTTATTTCTAAACTATAAAAACTCCTATAATTTTCTTAAATACGTATGTAGAATTCGAAAATAGAGAGCTCGAAAAGTTATTTTACATTAACATTAATATTTTTGAAATGTACCTTCATATAATTTTGATATGATTTTGTTTTCTATCACTAATACGATGTAAACGAAATTATATTTAATCTTAGTTAAAATACAGTAAAACGCATACGCGCAGGCTATTTCCGTCGACTGGCGGCGTGGCGCGGCTGGGCGCCGGCGGCGCGCGCGTCGCTGGCGGCGCTGCTGCTGCACTGGCTCGTCAACGTGCGCCTCGCCGCCGCGAGGCACACGCTCTCCGAGGTCTCCGTCTTCACCATCGTGAGTGTTGCTAGAATATATTATAGTAACTTGTGAAGGTCTTTAAACCTAAAGTTATAATACCACTACCTTTTTTAGCGCTGATTTAGCCATTGAGTGATTATTGATCGAATAATATCGAATGCTAGAACTAAAGCAACACAAGCTATGCTTGAAATAAATATTCGGTTGATCTTAAAAAGCGATATCAAAATAATATTTCATAACATACGCATAAATGATATAAATGGGAGATATATACTCGACACCGCTGTGGGCATGTATGTAGGTAGGTATGTATGTATGTACATCTGTTGCAGGGCGCGGACCTGCTGTCCACGATATGGTGGACGTTGGTGGCAGCACTGCCGCTCACTGTGCTGGTGGAGACCCCCACGCGGCGCAGCGCCACTCTGTTACTGCACCACTATGGCGGATAGAGATAAGGAGAACCATCTTATATGGGAAACAAGTCGAAAAAGTGTCTACCTGTAAGCGGTAAATAATAGTTTAAAAAACCCACCAGAATCGCGTTAGCGTAAGGAGTGTGATATGAATTTAGCAATTATAAACGAAGTGAAGTGTGCCTAGTTGAAAAATTTAATATTTTGGGTGACTTGAGTAATTATTGAAACTAAAAGTACTTTTTGTGAACTTTTAATAGTACTTTTGGCGCTTTCTTAAAAATGTACCCACTTGCTACCGTGGCGCTACCCTAATTTAATGCGATGGACACTTTTTTATCACAGAGATAGTTCTCCTTATCTCCTCCACCCTCTATTATCACCACCCACTGGACTTATATACGCGTCGCTGTGTTGTTCAGTAGCGAGCACCTCCTCATCTATGCTGCTGTCCTAGTACACCACCACAAACTGTTACCAAGATACCACCTCATCGATCACACTGACTGGACCAAGATATGCGTCGCCATGTTGCGTGGATCTCTACGTCAATGCTACCATCCGGCTACACACATCACCACACAAGGATCATATCCTGCGGTACATTGCCGTATTGCTTTACCTCCTCCATTAACGCTGCCACCCTGATATCACGTTTCTGCATCATTCACCGGCCCACTACAGGTCATAAGGTCCTGAGTTCGACTTCTAGGCTACTTGTTATTTGTTAGAAAAGCCAAATATTTTTTTCAAGTAAATCGTTATCGCTGGTTGGGGCTTAGACAATATGTCTTTCTATAAATGTTGAAAAATAGATACGGGAATGATAAATTATACGCGTATAAATAATAAGTTTCTATGGAATAACAATTTAATTTATCATTTCAATACAAAACTTATTATATTATTTTCTATTATTCAACGATTATAGAATGATAATAAAAAACTAAAAAATATAGAGAAACAATTTATCTACTCGCTAAATCACGTGGTCAGAATACGTCAAATCAATATATTTATAACTTCTTCTATTAGCGAGATCGATTGTAGAAAGTTAATATATATATGAAAATAAAAAATCTATCCAGAATTGCCTTCAGCCATTCAAGAACAAAAATTGGTAGATACGTACGTACGTAAAAATAATTATATGAAACAAGCAATTCACCCTTATTTCGCTTGGCTTCGTCCCTAGTTCTCGTTAGTTAAACACTAGCGGCTCACCCTCGCTTTGCTCGGGTTCACAAACAAACAACACAAACAGACAAACAGACAGAGAAACAAAAATTTAAAAAAAGCTCTGGATTTACTCTATATCTCTTCTAACATCGTCCTGACTCGGTTTTTAGATTTTTTTTCTATGTACAGACATTCGACCTCTACAGTTTTATTATATTTATAGATTATTCACATATACATGCAACTATTTGGTTAGCGCAGACCGGTAAAGCAGTTATTTAGCGCATTTAGATGTGCAAATATTAAGATTTAGAACTAAAAACTTTTTTAAAATAAAATATAGCCCATGTCCGCCAGGAATAGTGTAGCTTTCTATTAGTGAAAGAATTATTGGATTCGGTTCACTAGTTCCAGAGATTACTCTCTACATACATAGTTTACCTCTTTATTTGTATTATTTAACGTTTAGTATAAATTTCTCAGAGATGAGATAGTAAATAGTATGTTATATGTTGACCCGGATAATCAGCTATCATCATACTAAATTTCATCAAAATCTGTCCAATGGTTTTCTCGCAATGCGTTCCCACACTGATAGACAGATATAAATTCTAAAAACTATAGATTCGGCCTCTGTATCGATAATAATGACTATTTCAAGTAGATTTTTTTTGTATAGATGTACCTAGATAACTGTAAGCTTTAACTGTTATAAAGTAACAGTTTATTTACATTGCTGTTAAAATAATAAAATAAATTTCTTAGCATAGAATCTGTATAAGGTAAGTCTTTTTAATATTATTTAAAGTTTCTATATATTATATATGTTATGATATCGACTAGCCGTTAGGTAATAGCGAGTTCACGCAACACGTCAATCTTTTCTATTGGTCAGTAGCAGCCAGTATCAGTTCTACAATCGACATCGCCAAAAAAGAGAGAATATATTTTTTTTTATTAAAAAGGTTTGCTAGCAGTCGGTAAATTTCTTGATAAATTCGAATTCGATTTTACTTTTACATAATATATAATCAATTGTTAAATGTACAACTACATATATTAAAGCAAACACGACGTGCACATTTCTTTTTGTATCCCGTTGACAGTGATTAAATTAAAATGTACATAAATAAGATCAAATATTGACCTCTGGATGTGCAGCTGTACAAGCTAGCCACTACACCGCCGAGGCAGTTAATAAACATGATAATGAGTCAATCTTATCTAATAATCTTATCAAAAATATAATATTAATATGTCAATTTGTTATTTTGACTAAATTAAAATATTGTTTTTTGACTAAATTATACTAGTATGTTTAAAGTATTTGATCAAAATGAATTATTGCCAATTAAATCACAACAATAAATTAATAATACATTGAGTTATGATACAATATCAATTAACGTCAAATATAACAAAGTTCAACACTAAATAAAGTTTATGAATCATCACAAATCGATTATATTATAGACATAATTATATAATCAAATACGAGTATTATCATTTAGATGCTATATTTTTAGGGTTTTTGAAGTAAAACTTATTTGGCGTGACTAAGAGGTAAGTCACATACATTGGAAAAATGAGTGTTGGGGAAGTGAGAGTCTTTATTGTTAATAATTTTATAATAATTATTAACGCCAAAGAAGTTTTACTTTAACCGAAAAGGTTACACGCACTCGTTTTTAATCCGATAGCGATGATAACATGTAGGTTGTTCTCAATGTCAAGGGTAAAATCTAATACATTATTATGTAAATATCTGGTGTCACGATGTTTTATTTGTGGTCGCACTCCTCCGAAACGGTTCGAGCGATTTTAATGGTTTTTTTGTATACTTGGTAGGTATGAGAATAGGTCGTAGAGTATTTTTCACCCTTTTATCCATGCTCCACTCATGCCCCACCCTACCCCCAGCCCTCGCCCCTCCATTTTATTAAGTAACTAGCGACTCGCCCTTGCTTCGCTCGGGTTCGTCCCTAGGTACATTTTTTTTTGAGCGGAACCCTAATTCCTTTACTGAAATAAAAGTAGCCTAAGTTACTCCTTATAACATCAACTACCTGGTAGTGAAAGTCCCGTCAAAATCGGCCTAGCCGTTTCGTAGATTAGCTGGAACATACAGACAGTCCAGCAGTCAGACAGACAAACAATTTTAAAAATTGAGTTTTTCTTATAAATACCGTATATAATTCCATATGCATTTAGTAAAAAGCTGTTATTTTTACATTACAAACAGACACTTCAATTTTATTTATCTGTATAGACTAAACCGAGCGGAGCGAAGGTGAGTAGCCAGCAGGATTATAATACTCTGATAAGTGAGTTAATAGTAAATAAATAATATTTAGGTTGTAAATATTATAACAAATGTCACAAATATATATATATATTAATAACAAAATTAACAACGTTTGTAAAAGTATTAAAAGTGAGATTTAGTATAATAAAGTATTTTAAAAGATAAAGTAACATTTCTTTTCTATCCTCTGGCGATGACTTCTATAATTTATGTGTCATTATTAAAAAAATAAACAAAAAGATATTGTACTTTCACGACTCACTATAATAACATGAGCAATCTATATCAGTAAAGCAAATGCTATTCTTGCGCCTTACGAAAAAATTTTTTTATATAAATTCATACAATTACCATTTAGTAGTCCATAAACAATGTTGTCAACAAGCTGTCCTGGAGACGTACGCTGTGTCGGACATAACCGTAAATCTAAAGTGAACTTGACAGAAAGTAATATATTGCATAACTTCCTGTTCTTCTTGAAGGTCAGTATGACATCAGCTTAATTAAATATGAAAAAAATATCTATTTAAAAAAAATAATGTTATTAAATATATTTTATTAAAATAATATAATAATGGTAGGTAATTAAAAAAATAAATAGGATTGAGGTAGCCCAGAGGTAACGCGCTCGCTTAGAAAACCGACTGAAGCAGGTTCCAATCGCATTCTCTAAAATTTTTACTATCGAATCATTTTCAACATGATTACCACTTGTCTTGTGGTGAAGGAAAACATAGTGATGAAACCTATATGTCTGAGAGAACAGAGTTTTCGAAAAACTTTTGAAATTCACCACCAAGTGCGGTTTCGCGAACTTTACATCTCTTTCGAGAACTTCCTAGGGTATCTCAAACATTCAGGTTTTCTCGCGATATTTTCCTTCACCGTAAGTCAAATATAATTATGTTGAAAAAATTCACACGGACACGAAACCTTCCCTCACTGGTCACTCACAACAGGCTACCATTGCTTTAATAATATTATATATTCCTTAAAACATAATTACGGATATCCGGTATTTTTGTCTCTTGTCCATAAACATAATAGCAACCTCTCAATCATATATTAATTGGTTCAGACATAAGTACCTCGAAATCTTTTGTAAACTAATAAAAAGAAAGATATTTGTGATGTATGTTTATGTGTTTGGTACTTACTTGCTGCTAGCCAGATTATTACCTACTAATATCCTAGTCACTCTATACAATATGAATAAAACTGAAACTCTGAGACAAGTATTTCCACGCCACGGCCAACACAGCTCCAACAAGGAATGCCAAGAAAAGAAAATTTACTTAAATCTAGATATTCTTCATAAATAAAAAAAATCTATGAAATCTTGTTATTTTTTTAAATCGACAGCTCCACAATAACCATGAATTTCAATATTAAATAATTTATAGCGAGGTATGGTATATAAAAAGCATTTATCATTTGCATTAATATTGTAAATGATTCGCGATCTCCAGAGCGCGGAGTGGCGTCAATACAAATCTATAAACAAAAACATTGTAAAATGTCAGTGAACTATAAAGTATTCCGGAAATAAAATATACATTTGATTTTAATAAAGGGTTCGTATCACATGATAATGAAAAAAAAACCTATAAATCACAATACTACCTAATGCAATTTTTTTTATGTATACATAAAAAAATAAAAAAAAACATATTTATGTTAAATAAAACTATCTTTTCGGATTATTTCGCGGATTTATTTTGTTTTTTGGTTCCCGACGTTTCGAATGCTTTACAGCAATCATGGTCACGGGAGAGACTGAGGTGTTAGATGTGTCGAAGGTATAGTTGTTACAGACAGCCTACCCACAAATAACAAATTCGAAACGTCGGTAACCAAAAATCTAAATAAATCCGCGAAATAATCCAAAAAGATACTTTTATTTAAAATGTCAAATATTCGCGTAAATCTAAGAAAGTATTAAAATATATTTATTTTAAGATTAAATTTTTATGAATATCGCATTTCGTATGTTTGTTACTACTTCACACTGAAACGGCCCGTCCGACCATGGGGTCTCATCACGAACAAAAAAAATCAGTTCAAATACATGTTAATAGATGACGTCACATGTATCAATTTGTTATTAAAGTTGTGTTAAATTAACAAAACATAAATGAAATAAAGAGATCCCAAAAAGATG